GAAAGAGGAAAAGGTTCTCGGACGCCCGCTGAATCCCAAACGACTCGGAATGGCTCGAGTGACTCATAGAAGGCGTTCACCTGCCTGAAGGGCCTTCTGTCTCTCCCGACCGACACGACTCCCTCACGACTCTCTCCCGACTCCCGACCGACTCTCTCCCGACCGACACGATCGTTACCCCCCGGATTTTCCTCCGTTTCCTTTCGTCGCAACCGTCGATCCGCGAAACGTGACCGGGGATTTCATCGAGGCCATCATTACGATACGGCTTTTTATTTCCATCTCATTTCACGGTTCCCCGATCGCGATATGCGGAATGAATGATGGAAAATGACGTCAGGTGCGTGAGATTCGTCTCTGCCCGCGATTCGACCCTCTTTCTTCCTCGTTTTGTTTGTCCCGATGAGCGCGATAGCGATCGACGCGATTCCCGGTTTCCCCCCGGCTCGAAGATCGGTATCGATTCCAGGAATCTGGAATTCCACTGAATTTTTTCCCTCCCGGTTTCCAGCATCTCGTCCCCGACGATTTTTCTTCCATGTTCTCTCTCTCTCTCTCTCTCTCTGTGACACGCGTCACGCTTATCGAATTTTCCACAAAATCGAGAATAGAGAAGCCTCACCCGATTGCAATCGATCCGATCCGATATCTCGTCGTCGAGAACCGTCATTCGATGATCTCGAAAACCGTCATCTGCGGTTCTCGTGCCGAAAGGCAGGAAACGAGGAAATTCCCCTCGTGTGCGCGACACGGACACCGCTGACACGCGGAGCCTCCGAATGAGAAATCAGGGTCAAGTGTTGCCGAACGGAAGTGGAGGGCGTGGAAAGCGAAGGGGCCATATGGGTCTGGCGGGTGTAAGCCGAGAACCCGAGAGGATTAGCATATGTGCCACGTGCAGAATTTCTACACAAACGGAGGAAAGCGGAGCCGTTTTCGCAAGGGAGGTCTCGGCCGTAGATGGTCTCGGCTGCGGTCCGCATCTCGAGATCGGGCAACCCTGTTCCCGCGGGCCCCTTCCATGCCTTCCACTGGCTTCGGGCAGTCCAGCCGAGAACTTCTTCAATGGGTTCCCGACTCCGACGCTGGAGAGTGTGGGCGGGCGTGCGTGCGTTCCGAGCGATACAAAAAAGAACCGTTTAATTATTTCTTCTTCCTGTGCCTCTCGTATCTCGGTCTGTGTTCGCTCCTGCACGTGCTTCGTTCTGCCCTTCCTCATGTCGCATTCGCTCCCAAGGCCTACCTCGTGCGATAAGGACTCGAGCTAGGCCCAGACATGCCGGGCGAAGAACGAAAACTCGGTCTCATCCCTTCCATTCGGAAAACTCAACTCGTGAAGTCTCCGAAGACCTTGCCTCCTAAGGCCTTGCCTCCGAAGACCTTGCCTCTACCAGGTCTGTTCCTTCTCGTCTTCGGTGTCTACCGAGTGCCGTTGAGAATACAATAGCAACATAATTAGTGCAGCTCTGCGGTTATCAGTCTAGAGATGTATTTTCGCAGTAGCCGAATTCTATTACGTCCGGTGTTTCCCTTCCGATTGGCCGAATGAGCCGGATCTTAATAGCTGCATTCATTGAATTAAGTCTGAGGCAGTGACAGAGCAACTTCTCGCATGGCAGGAGCTTCGCAGTCTCGCGTGGAATGCCGTCGAGTCCTCCACTTCCGTTCCATGTTATTATATTTATCTCAATCACTTTATCTTAATTCTTCTCTATTCTAAGCTTTTACGACGGGAGAACCCTTAGGTCGGTGCCGAAAGGGACGTGGAATTTGCCTGTCCTGTCTTTTTCATGGCAGTCAGCCCGACGTTTTTTATGGGTAGGGTGCGCTTCGTTGCAACATGCCAGCGTGCAATAAACCGGGCTGGACAATATTCGGACTTGATTTTCAGGTCCTCAAATTTCAGGTGCAGCCAATTTGGCCGACTGCATTCGGTTGCATTCTTTCTTTCTCGTTTCGAATCGCCAGCCTGGCTGGGCAGCTCGATTCGGTCGTGAGAGAGGTGAAAATCCGCTTAAAGGGAATGGTGAATCGTCGATTCGTGAAGTTAAAAAAAAAAAAAAAAAAAAAGAAAAACACAAAAGACAAGGGAGAGGAGAGATCTCTTCATTTCTTCTCTCGTGTTTATCGAGAGGAGGCCAAGAGAAAAGAAGCGTCTGGAGGCTAAGAAGAGATTGCATCACAGCTTTCGTGGTTATCTCCTTTGCCTTTTCACTCCTTCCATCTGGACTGGACCCCCGATCCAGATGAGTCATATATTGCACATGGTCCTCTAAAACGAGTTTCTTCTCTCTTTTTTTGTCTCTCTCTCTTTGTTCTCATTTTCCTTCTTCGTCCCTCCTCATCCGTCTTCCTTAGTGACACTTTCCCTCCGCTCATCAACAACTATTACGACACCGAATTCCTTCTGTGTCCACCTAATGACGTCGCTTTTCTCCTTCTTTGCCGACCGGTACGATACGGACAGAAAGAGATGCAATAAGGGAGTAGCCAGTCCTATGCAAATGAGATGTTGACGTAAGTGATCACGCTCCAGAGGAGTAATATAATATTCGGAGCAAGAAAGAATTACCAAAACCCCGGGGGGGTATTTTCAAGAATCCCTCGAAGGGAAAGGGGGAGGAAGAAGAAGAAATTGCCTAGATGAACAAAGGGAAGAGGGGGAGAAGCTGTGCTGCATACAGGCCCTTGTTTGTCTCTTTTCCGAGGGGGTCAAAGTGCTACTTTTCTCACATGGCTCCTCTTCCCAAGGCCCCAAAACCATCGCAACTTCGTCCCTCAAAATGTGCAAAAGTGAAGAAAGAAAAGAAAAAGGGACGCAAAGATCCATTTCCCTTTCCGTTTCCTCCGACCCCCCTTCGTCGCTCCTTCGCTGCACCGAACGTCGACTCCCTTCGATCATCGACTGTTTATTGGCGAGGAGAGCGGAAGTGTGCACGTAAACATACGCACACGTCCATCAAACTCTCCGACAATCTGTTTCTTCTGTAAATAGAACAAGGCTCGGGCCTCTTGTTCTCCCCGGTCACGTGGTTCCCTCCTTCCAGTTACAACGTCATTCAGAGCCTACAAATTGCCTGATTAACTTTCACCAAACGTAAGAAGACAAAAGGGCCTGGAAACAGGATGGAGACAAAATATAATTGGATCGAGAGACCAAGGCTTTCGAGGGGCCGGACTGGTCGGATCGCGCATCTCCTTCCTTGTCACTCCTGGAATCTGATAGCTCGATATATAAAAAAAAAAGAAAAGACAGCGAGCGTTATGGATCTGGTGCACGCGTCATCTCCATGGCGAGAATCTCACCATAATGCTAGGCTTATCTACACATGTGGGAGTTCAATGTCAGAAAGCGTGGGACGGATATAATGGAATGGTTCCGCTCGATGGGTGTCTACGGGTGCATACATGCATTAACGCTTCCACTTGTTTAACAAGCCTCCCCCATCTTCATCGATAGCCCATCCACGCCCCCGGGCCATCTAACGAAGGGAAAAATCCAAGACCGTTTCCGCCCCGGGCATTTTCTTTTTTTTTTCCACGGGCCGCGCGTGTCCATTAATCGAATTCAATTTTTCCTCCACTCCCATGGATCCTCCCAAATATTGATTGCCGAGCCTAGGCGCTTCTTGTCGCCTCGACGTGACTGGAATGAAGCGGGTCGAAATGGATGGGCATATCGTATCGTATGGATGGATAAAGACCTCTCTCGTTCTCTCTTGTTGACTTGAGGGATCGAACCGGGTCGCTTTCTTCGCCCCGACGTCGTTCGTCATCGTCATCTTCTGCCACACGCAACAACGCCTGTGTTTAACGACACGGTTGAATTTAGATGAGACCATTGAATGCAAAAACGTAACTACTTCGGTTTTTTTCCCACGCGAGGGCTTCGACGAACTGCGCACGTTCGCAGATTTTCTGAAGTCGTAATATCCTTGATGAAATCTCGTGATCAGCTGGGACTCGAAAGGGTAGAACTCGAGCCCGGGGGGGGTTTTCACTCTGAGATGTAGCAGAGTCACTCTGTGTAACAGCTTCCCGTGACACTGCGGAATCTCTTCCCTTCCTTTTGTTTATGCAAGTATGATTGCAATCTGTTGTGCATGCACGTGCACAGGAGATGTGACCGAAGGTGAGGAGGAAAGGTGTCCGGGGTGCGGAATGTCCTACGACCGAGGGAAGAAGCGTCGCCTCGTGGAGGACTGCGGTCATCAGCGATGTCTCACCTGCATCTGTCACCATCCCCTCTGCCCTTTCTGTCAGGATGCGAGCCTTTTCTGTACGTGTCGATGCGCGTGGAGTGGTGACCCTGCTTTTTCCGGTCGTGCACGTGCATTTCTTTCTTTTTTTGCAGATGGGCAAGAGGCCAAGCGATTAATATTGCCAGCTCCGGCACTTCACGCGAATCGCTCTCACGTGAAGACCAATGGCCACTTCTCCCCTTCCATGAAGGCAAGTATCGGATGAGGCCATCTTACTTTTTTTTTCATTCCATCGAGTGAAAAGCAGCGAGAGAGGGAGAAGAGTTTCTCTTGCCTCAGCCTTTCTTTCTCCTTGTCAAAATGCTAAATCCAGTCTCCTTTCATCTCCCAAATTGCAACGAGCGTGCAAGCCACCATTCAGTGGAATCGCATGGATAAAGTTGCAAAGGATCTCAAAAGCTCCATAAGAATTTCCACACCACTCGCAATTTCCTTTCCTTCTTGAACGTATCACTTCAAGAAACTTTTTTATAATCACTTCTGGAAGCTATTTTTTACCTGTTTTTTCACGGGTCACTGTGTCAGAAGGATATAATTCTTTGCTGAATTGAGATCCGCTCACGTCAAGGATTTCCCGTTCGAGAAATTTACAGTCCGGTCTAAATACAGACAACGTAGAACCTGTCAAATTTCCCCCAGGCGAGGATAATGAGAGGCTGCGGTACGGACAGGTAACCGCAAAGAGGCTAGTTTGCCAAAGTAATTAGGCCATGCGAGTGTGGGTGTGCAATGGGTGAGGCCGTGCGCTATGCAAAGACGCTAACATGGCTTCTGTTGTCCGTCTTTCCTTTCTTTCCGCTTCTCTTCGTTGTATGTAATTATAAGGCTGTAATGCTCCATTTGAGAGATCCACCAGTCATGGCCCATTTTCATGGAGCTCATGAGAGTTGGAGCAACAGTTGAGATCTCCCCAGCTTCCATTAGAATCACGCGTTCGTATCGAGGTACGCGTTCCCAGATTGTAAATCCTTGCTCACTCTTGGGGCGTCTTTTAGGAACGTCGTACGTCTCCCAATCTGATAATTGATAAAAGTTTTTTTCCCCCAATAAATTTTCCCCGCGACTGAGCATGTATGGGCAAGGATGGTCTGTAAAAGATGCGACTGAGACTCTGTGGGACGACGGAGAAGTCCTTCGTTCGTATCATGACACGAATCTCATTTCACTTGCAGAGCCGGACTTATGTCGGGAAGACGATCCTCTCTGATTATCATGTCCCCACCGTCCATGGAGAAAGCCAGCACATCCACGCATCTGTCACTACTACTGGTGGGTTGGGTTAGGACTATCATCGTTTCGCCCTCAACATGCTTTACTTTGCAGTGATTTTTTTTTTTTCGTCTAAACAGACAATTTTTGAAATGACGAATTTCTATTTAATTTTTTCAGTGGGATCACCCGCACCATCCAGGAGGCCAGTGGGACTTCCGCTTCCGTCACCTCGACCCCCCAGAAAATGCAACTTCGATGGTACTCGCCGTAGTTCTCTCGTTGTCGTTGGTGTATCACCTGCCGGCATTTTTGAGCCACTGCATGCTTTTTTTTCTGCTAAAGGAGACACGAGGGGGACCGGGGCGAGACGAGGACGGCGAGGCTACCTGATGCAGCCGCAATATCCCTCCACGTCTTCCCTGGCTCCGTCGGAGATCAATGCGCTTTCCCATTCGAGCAACACGAGCCCTGTCTCCACTCTCACTGGTATGAGACGGCAGCACCGACTTTTTGAATGCGTCGAGCCGATTTCGTCATCGTCATCGTGTGGTGGAATTCTTGCAGGGTCTTCGGAGCTGGAAGGGGAACTGCTCGGAGGGAGTTCCTTGCGAGGTGCGACCTCTGACTCTCTGACGTCTCTCATTTCGTTTGGTAGTCATCACTTCTCGAAAGCCACTTCCTCATCTCCAAGTCCTCACCTACATTCTGCTTTCAGGCGACATTCGCTTTCCAGTGAGTCGTATTCCGTTATAATGGTGAATTTTAAACTTGGATGACAAAAATAAATATGTAATATTTGTGCAGCTACTCAGCCTGGGCCGATCGAGGAGCTCGATGTCTTCAAAGATCGTGGAGCGTTTCTCCGTCGATCGGCACGAAACCCATCCGTCTATAACTCTCGTGAGATTCGTCGTCTTGGTCTTGCAAGTTTCATTTTGGGCAAGATATATATGTGAATATATATTCCTCCCTCCCTCAGGGCTTGAGGTGACAACAGTGCCGTTGAAGCCGTTGTTCTTCGAGGTCCCACAAGCCGAAGCCGACCCCCTGTTCCTGGGTCGGCATTGGTTGTACAAACACATGGAAAAAGAGCTTCTTCTCGATGGCATTTCCTCGAGTCGTGGCCTCATCGTCTCTGGTGGACTTGGAGCCGGGAAGACTGCCGCATTCCTTCAGATCGTACAGCACAGCTGTTTCGGCAATGCTAGAGCTGGTCGGTGCCGCAATGAAAATTGTAATCGATATGCATGGAAATTGTATGCTAATTTATGGTGTATTGACCAAGTCATTGTATCTTGCGGTATTTAGCAGCCCACAATGAAGCCTACTGGGAGATAGGCTCCTCCTCCTCTGCCTCCATTCATGAGAGTTTGAAGACCCTTGGAGCTCACTTGGTTGCTTACCATTTCTGTCAGGTAGGTTCAATGATGAGGATTTGCATGACGTTGAAGCTGATATGAAAGGTGAAAGTACTGAGACTGATTTATTTCTCTATGGTCACTGATAAGCATCTGCACCCTCATGAATGAGAACTGTAAATGGAGGTGTCAGAGCATTTCAATCATGCACCTGCTTTTCCCAAGTTTTCTTTGCACTTTCATAACTTAATTGCTGATTTTAAGTATGGACATGTCAGTCTTCATTCTAGTGACCAGATGTAGGCAGTGGAATGAAAAGTGGAAGCTTGAGGCTGGATCTGTTTTCATGATTTAATACAAAGCAACAAGCAAAGCCAGAGAATGGAGTTTTAGACAGAATTTTCTTTTTGTTTGGTATGCTGGACTTGTTCTTTTTTTTTCTGTGTTCTAGGTGGAGAACAGTCTGACATGCCAGGTTCCAGACTTTGTACATTCCTTGGCTGCACAGCTCTGCCAGGCTCCCCAGCTTCAAGGTTACAGAGAGCATCTCCTTAGAAATCCAGAGCTCCTCCAGGTCCTTGAAATGAATCGTTGCATTGCCGACCCTCATGCTGCTCTTCTTGAAGGTCTGTCTCAGAAAGTTCAAGTGGCATGAACAAATATACCATAGAAGAAAGAAAAACATGAGAAACATCCTTCCTCTTGTCTAAAGGGATCCTAAACCCCTTGATGGAGCTGAAGAGGAAAGGCAGACTGGGAGTGGGTCCCTTTCCACTTATTGTGTGCATCGACTCGGTCTGCGAAGCTGAATTTCATCGCAGTGACTATGGAGACACGATCACTTCCTTCTTGTCCCATCATGCCCTTGACTTCCCTCCTTGGTTTAAGATCCTCTTGTCAGTGCGAGCCAATCGAGCCGATGTCATTCAGATGCTCCCACTACCTCTTATTAGGTAGTTTTTGCTTCCCTTTTTGTCTTTGCTGACTGTTTCATTAATTTCTGTAAATCCAATGATTTTGGTCTGGTTTTCAGTTTGGATGACACAGATGACCAAGGAGATGCAAGAAGGGACGCCGAGGAATACATTCTGTTCCGATTGAAGCACAGCCCCTCGATCGTGAAGAACATTCGCGTGGGAACTACCGATGGTAGCACTCAACAAGCCCGCTTCGTTTCTCATCTCCTTCGTCTTGCATCTGGTTCGTTCCTTTATCTCAAGATGACCCTCGACCTCATCGAGAGAGGTCGACTCGTCATGAAGTCCTCAGGCTTCAAGGTCACCATCTCTCTTAATTTTTCCCTATTCTGGTGTCAGTTCTTTGTTTTTAGTCCACTTGTTTGTCTATTGCAGGTGCTCCCGGTGAGTGTATGGGAAGTATTTCAACTGCACATGAATCTGAGGTTCTCCACCTTGACTGCGTTCAATCGCGTGTCGTCCATCCTCTCCACGCTGCTTGCCACGTTGGCTCCTCCCTCTCCATTAGAGGTATATCATTCCCTTAATGCAGTGACCAAGTCCAATCCCATCACATGGCAGGAGTTCCATCAAAGACTGGCTGTGAGTGTAAAATCTTTTGCTCATGACTCTTAGTATTGGCATTTTTTTGCAAGTGTTTTAAATCTACTTACTACTTTTATATCTTTCACCCAGTCTTTAGCCGGTCTGGTCGTTCGTCGCATGGATGACTCGCTCATGTTCTTCCATCCTGCATTCCGCGAGTGGCTTGTTCGTCAAGAATCCAAGTTCCTTCTTGACCCCAAGTCTGTTTCTCCCATGTCCCTGTGTTTTTTTTTAATGAATTACTCATATAAATCTGTTCTCATTTGTGCAAGTGTGTTCTTTACCATGGCAGGGAAGGAGATCGCTGCTTGGCACTGCGACTCAGCCGGCTGGAGAGTCCACTGATGGACGGTGAGAAAATCCTTGAACTGGGTCATCATATTCTCAAAGCTCATGTCTACAAAGGACAAAAGCAGCCAGCACCTCGAGACATGCAGGCACACTGGCTGGCTATCACATCTGTTGATGTGACACAAGCCCTTGTTGTTCCACGGAATCTCTTCTCTCCAAACCTGAAGGCAGGGAACTGGCAGCCAATAGGGACAAGATAAAAGCATTTAAGATTGGGATGTTAAAAATAATTTTGATCTTTTTTGTATAGGTCTCTCGACTGTTGCTGTTGGCTGGGGCTTCACCAGATGCAGTGACATCTGCATATGAATCAGCACCTGTTTTATCGGTTTCATCCTACCTGGGACATTTGCAAATGGTCTCCCTTCTCCTGGAATTTGGAGCAAACCTGGAATCAAGAAATGTTGAGGGAATGACAGCCCTCATATTTGCAGCCCGGGCTGGTCACTGTGATGTTGTTGCAATGCTGCTACAAGCTGGAGCTTCTCTGACAGCAGTTGACTCAGATGATTCGTCTGCACTTGTCCATGCAGCCAGCAATGGGCACTTGAGGATTGTGGAATACCTTTTATCTTGCGATTGGCCACCTAACAGATCAGGAGAACTTGGTCTGGCCGAAGCAGCTCAACAAGCTCTCATTGTGGCTGCTTTTAACAACCATGCTCAGGTTTTTCTTTTTCCATTTCTTTCTTCCAAATATCTGCCAGAATTCCTCAAGGAATTACTCTTTTTCAGGTTTTGGAATATCTGCTGGACTTAAGTGAGGTGGATGTGAATCAAGTTGACACACGTTATGGAGAGACTGCGCTAACTGCAGCTGCTCAAAGTGGTCATTCTGCCCTTTGTTCCCTTCTCAACGCTAGAGGGGCTCGGCTCGATGTTGGAAACATGATCGACTCTCTGCCCTTGCTCATGGCAACTGCCAATGGACACTGGCAGGTAGGATCAACCTTGACTCCTCAACACAGCAGCACAGACCTCCTTATTTGTGCAGCTCAATTAGTCATACCATGTTGTTCTGTTACCAGGTGGTAGAATGGCTGTTGAGTCGGGGTGTAGACTTGAGAAACCAGATTGATGGTCTGGGAAGAAGTGCAATGAGCATTGCTGCTGCATCTGGCCATGTTGGACTCCTGGAACTCCTTGTTTCCAAAGGTCTCTAAGCTTTATTTTGTGCAGCAACTTACAGTTGTTCCTGTAAGGCACATGTTGGAATGTTTCTTTTCATTTGGGTAGGAGGAGACATGGAACAGAGGGATAAAGAAGGAATGACAGCATTGGCTCATGCTTGCAAGGCAGACCAGATTGCATGTGTCATCTTCCTCTTGGACAGTGGTGCTCAGATTCAAGCCAGAGATTCAGATCAGAAAACGCCACTTCACATCGCTGCAGGCCATGCGTCTCCTCGGGTTCTGCAGAGCCTCTTGGAACACGGAGCCGAGATGGAATGCGTCGATCGAAAAGGCTGGCGTCCTCTGGATCATGCCGTTGCCGTTTCCAAGGAGGATAACGTTCGTGTTTTCCTCCAACGGGGTGCCCGACTGGGGACTGCCACATGGGAGGCTGCTACGTCTCATCCCCATATCATGTGACAAACATTTTGTGATTGTCTATGCAATCCTTTGTTTGAATTCTTATCAAAACAGAGAGGTTCTTTCTACAGGCTGGCCCTGTTGCACAAGCTCCACGACGACGGGAGTCTCCTTTTACGAAGAGGTGAGGTTCGAGATGCTGCTTTTCGTTTCCAGTATGCATTGAAGAAGATCCCAGGACAATGTGCATCTGGTGACTTTTCTCGGCTTCACATACGCCTCCTTCTACTTCTTTCTCGATGCAAGAGGAAACTCCAGGTGTGTGAACTCATAAGAATTCATGATTATTGTTTTCTTGTAATTTCCATCAATTTGACATGGTAATGGTGTGAATGTGAGTCATGCATGCCTGACCGTGTGCATGCAGGAGCCGGAGGAAGCCCTGAAACTGGCATCAGAAGCAGTGGAAAGAAGCGAAGAGAACTTTGAGACGTACTACAGCCGGGCAAGAGCCAAGCAATCGTTAAACGACATCCAAGGTGGCCTGGAAGACGTGCAGAGGGCTTTGCACCTGGCTCCTGCCAATCGAGATATTAGACGTGTCCTGCTTGGCCTCAAGGAGGAACTCAGGCAGCCTCAAAGAGAAGGAGCCTGCAAACACACCCCTGTCTAATGAAGTCATCTGTGCGCGAGACAATCCCAAAGAAGAATTATTTTTACTGTTCCCGAGAGGATTCGGTACTTGCTGTTCTTTTTCTTAAGGTGTTCTAGCTTATAGTGCAGAGATTTTTTTGTTTAGTAGACAAAAGTAAATTGTGCCAAAGCTTGATGATAGAACCTTGCAAGCAATGTTAGTGCCATTTTATATCTTCACTTCATCTGTGATGTTTTTTTTTTTATGCAGTCCACATGACACATTAAAGAAAGCTGCTGCTTTGTCTCTTATGCCCTGTATGAGATGAATCAATAAACAGCTGGGTTTCAGCCATTTACACCACCGCTTTCTCTCAAGGAAAGGACTCACGCATGATGGTTAATATGATTGAATAATTCGGTGACGGAAAAAAAAGTTATTTCACCGGCAGAAGGCCTGAGAAATCGGAAGAAGTAAATACAGGGTATTACTCGCGGTCATGGCCGGATGCGAAGGCGCTGAGGGCGTGGAAAGAAAAAAGCTTCTTTCGGCTAGGGTATGAAGTAGTGGGAGAGTGGAAGCAAAAGGGAAAAGAAAAAGAAAAGGGAACGAAACTCGATGAACCGAGCCACAAAAAGAAAAGGAAAACGGCATAGGTTCCGTTTTGCCGAAGGCGTACGACCAACGCTCGATGAGCGTAGCAGGAACCGCGGTCCTTTAGCGGTTCACTCTGACGGAGGCCCGACGGTACGACGGCCCGCAGAGACCTCTATTCGAGATGAGGCCGCGGCCTCTACGAAGACGTGAGGGCTGGAACGGTCCTAGCACAGCGAATGGGAATCCCCTCTGTCTTCCTCGCCAGTCAGCCAGTCTCACGTCAGTCTCTTGGTGCACTCGGACGACTCCTCTCACCTCGGCTGTCCTTGTTCGCCGGTCTGCAGTTTATTTTGGCCGCTTCCGTCTCGATCAGGTTGGTGTCTCTCCTTCGACTTAAGCAATCACTAATTAAACAAGCATTTTTGTTGACTTTTCAATTTCCACTGCTTGTTACGTTTTTTTTGCACTTGGCACTGCGGTCGTATAAGAGCTCTTCGTCGCACATGTTAACATTTTCCATTTAATTGCCCGCAGACGGGAAGTTATTCGCAGGCAGCTGGAATTCTGCCTGAAATTTTCTGCAGCCTTTCATCGTCTGCCGGAATGTTTTGAATTCCTCGATTTACGTGTCTGGGGTGAAGGAAATGCTTTCGAGTGCGCATCTGTAAACATCTGATTTCGCGAGGCAGCAAATTTATTCATTAAATCTGCAGATGCCGGTGTTGCTATTTACGCATGGTCGCATCGTGATCAATTGGAGGAAGGTGTGGGTGTCGTGGGATGAAAAGACGCCACAAAAAAGGCTAAAAGTGTTACGACTTGAAAAAATGCTCTTAGTGCCACATGTGGCAATTAATTCCTTTCAAGTGCTGTCAGCTATGGCACATTTGTATCTCGAGAAGACGGGATGAAAAGAGATGGAAGCTTTCTTCCTCGAACTCGTGAAACGCAGTTTCTTGTCTTTAGCTCTTCCTACAGACGAGGATCGAAGGATTCCTGAAAAATTTGGGGAAATTTTCACAAATTTTCAGTCGGGCAAATCGACTGAAAATATCGTATTTTGAGTTGAGCCTTGGAGTCTTCGAGCGTCTCGCCCGGAGTTCGAGCAGACGATTTCCAGGAACGTGCTCCGTCTTTCCTGCTCCCGACGAACCTCCGGAATGGGAGCGAGATTCCAGGGAAGGTCAGACCGTGAGGAACGAGAGCCGCTGCATCCCGTTATCGAACGTGCCGGTCCACGCGCGTTCCTCGATTTTCCCCCTCCTCCGACGCCCGTGGGTCGACGCGTCGAGTCGCTCCACGCGTGCAGCCTCCGGGACCGACCCGGCCGGCCCCCGTGAAGGGGATGAGAAATCCGGCCTTCGCTATCCAGGTCACGTGATCCTATTTCGCCACTGTCGATCTACCGTCTGTCCCACGCTGCCTTCGGGCGGCGAGGGCGTCACCTCCATCCTCCGGGAGGGAGTGCTTCGCCCTCCCCCGCGTCCATAGACCGAGTGCTTCGCCCTCGTCTCCGTTATTAAACGGATTTACGAGTTTCGTTTATGCTCGAATTTTAGTGTGGGCGCAGGGCTCTAAAAATAAAAACGCTCGCGCCTCGATGACGGAATTCGCATTCGTCGAGTCTCGAGTCGGAATTCCGTCACGTTCGGAGCCGTGAGACCGCGGAACGAAAGGCATGAAAAATGCCTTTTTTTGTAATTTCAGAGGTCTCCCCGAGGGGAACTTTCTCCGATTTTTTTCCAGGATTTTTTTCTTTAATTGGCGATTGTCTCACCGAGGGGGAAAAGAAGCACGGACGACGAGAGAAAAGCCCATTCTTTAAATAAAAGTCGGGAGGAAAGTGCTCGAAAGCCTCGTCTGCGCCCATTAGCCAGCCGAACCGAAAACGTGGAATTTCCCTCTGACATTTTTCCCCTCGCGATGTCGAGACGGGTGAGTGTCGGAAGACTTGAGCCATTTTGCCAGGGGATCTTCTCTCCCTTCCCGTCTCGAAAACGGATACCGGAAAGAGACGGCTGGGGGCCGTTTCGGGCCGTCTCGTCTCGCCACGGCTCACCCGTGGAATTCCAGAAGAAAACAAACGAGGAGTTTCTTCGGCGCGGAGAGAGAAGCCGCGTCGGGACTCGCGTGTCTGCGATCTGTTTCCACGGTTTTCCGTCCGAGAATCGAAATTGCACACTCGGTGGCGTGCGTCGTTGCGGCATGCGATCCGTGGATCGTTTTGGGTTCTGCGACGGCGGCGAGGAGATCTCTCGGGTCTCCGAGTTCGATTTTCCTGGCGACTTTCGTGCCGCCCCGAAACGCGCTTTAATTAGGTGCCCTCTCGTTTGCGGTTTCCTGTTGTCCGTCGGCTTCCATCGTCTCGTCTCGTCGAGTCGACGAGTTTAAATCGCTCATCACCCGGCACATCCGATTGGGTGCGTTTCCACGGTCGTCGCCGTCTCGTTTCCCGCCGAGGGGGGCATCGGAATCCCCACCGTCCTCGTTCCGATCCGATTCCTCGAGGGGGAAGGGGGGGGGGGGGTAGGGGGATGCGGGTCATCGACAGGGAATGATGCATCGCGTCGCATTCGTCTCTCGAGGAAGCGCCGGCAGCTAATGCCGGATGTAACGTAGTTGGAGGAGGGAGGGAGGGAGGGGAAGGGAGGGAGAGGACAGGGGAGGGGGGGGGGGGGTTGTGTGCGTAAGATCTTTTTCATTTCCCCCCGGGGAAGAGGATTCCCGTCCGGAGATAATTATTCTCACATGATCTCGTCTTCCTTCCGTCATGCTTCACGCCTCACGCAATTTCCTCGCGTCTACAACACCTCCCTGTCACCTTCCCCCCTGCCACCTTCCCCTACTCTTCCTCCCCCGTCTCACCTCGCACGAGACTGCTCTCGGACGTCTCCCAACTTGCAATCCGACTCCGCCGTTCGCCTCTTCCGATTCGAGCCGCGATAAGGCGTCGTGCAATCGAGACGGGGAGGCCGAGTCGCGTGGCACGACTCGAATATCGGAAAGGTCTCCCGTTACGAAACGGAAAGGGGACGGGATCGGGATCGGGGACGGGGGCGTGAAGTGCCTCCCGACCGAAAGAGGGAGAAGAGGGAAGGAGCAGGCGCATTTCTGCGGGTATTTTAGCGAGAGGGGGAGGAAGGGAAGGTATCGATTTTAAGATGCTGCATCTCTCACTCAGCCTCCCTCCCTCATCCTCCTCCTCCTCCCGTTTCTTCCCTTCTTTTTCTCCTCCTTCTCCCCTATCTGGTCCCAGGATCCGAAAGCGATAGAACGCAGTGTGTTCGGTCTCGTCCCGTCCGCGGGTGTCGCCTTCGAGGCCTTCGAGTGACGACGGGCGGAACGCGGAGACGTCCGTCCGTCCGCTTTTCGACGGGCGAGGGGTCGAGGGATCCCCGGTGAGGATTCCGCCCCCGCGAGGGGCGGGGGATCCCCTTCCCCCCGTTCCGAGTGCGCGGTGTGACCCCCCGCGACGCGTTCCGTGACGACCCGCGCGACCCCCGCGACACGCGCCGCGTGTCCCCGACCTCGTAGCACCGAGAGTCCGATTGGCGGCGATCCAGCCGAGTCGGCCAAGAGAAGCCAAAGCCTTCGTCTTCGCCTTCGTCTTTGCCTTTCCCTCTGCCTTCCCCTTCCCCCCGTGTCGACACGCGTTCTAAAAGAGGAACCAGGGGAGGGAAGGAGAAAGGATTAAAGTTAGATTTTGATGGAGATAGCGGGAGGCTCGGCCTGCACATCTCGTATTCGCCTCGGCCCTATTAGCTCGCCTCTTCCCTGCTTATTGAACTTCCCATGCAGCCGGTTTGCATAATGACGGGCGAGAAGATGGAGTCCGTGAGCCGACGAGTAAAACGTTTCCTAAATGAACTCGGCCAGGTCATCGCGTCACGGGACCAGGTCATCGCGTCACGGGACCAGGTCATCGCGTCACGGGACCAGGTCATCGCGTCACGGGACCAGGTCATCGCGTCACGGGACCTGCCGAAGTTTGCATCTGCGGGTCGCTAGGAACTCCTTCGGAAGGGTTTCGCGATTTCATTTCTCTCGACCGAAGAACGGGATCCTTCGGTGGTAAACCCTGTTTGCGATCCCGAAATCCGTTCTAGGAGGCGCCGGACCGCAAGTTGAGGTGACTTCGAGGTCCTTCTGTCGGACTCTCGCCGCGGTTTCGATTCTCTCCGTCCGTTTCCAGGTCTTGCTTCCGATTGCGTGTTTGCGCGACGGGTGAGAAATTTTCAAATCGGGGAAATGCAACTTTTCTCTCGTTTTCGTGCGCTCGAAGGACGAAAATCGGCCTCAGAATGGAATCCAAACTTTCCTCTTTTTTCGGCCGCGAAACTTCTCGACGGAAATAACGACGACCGACCTCCAGCGAAACGTGTCGCGTGACGTCACGAGAAGGAATCCGATCGTCCCCGCACGAATGAAGTTTGCCGAAGCAAGTGCCAAATCATTCTGTGGCCTTTCGTCACGATCGATTGTGAAATTTCTTTGTACTCGTTCTTATATCAACTTTCCGTATCCACGTCGAACGACGTAATTACTTTTTTTCATTATGGGTTGCTTTAAGAAACTCAATTTCGGTCCTAATTTGTAATTAGTAATTAATTAAAATAAAATTCTCACTCGTAAATTAAGCGATTAAATCATATTTGAAACGCGTTTCGCTTGTAAGTATTGAACCCTGCTCAAGTTTTTTTCTCGCTCGTCCTTTCTCGCGTCTAAGTTGCGTTTATTTTTTTTCTTTTCGTCGTAGCACAATTAGCCGCCATGTTTGTTTTTTTTTGTGCGTTGCGTGTCGGGCATAATTTAGGAGCCTGAGAAAAAGAAGTACGCGAAACGAGAGGTGGATGATCCGGATGATTGCACGGACGAAGCGGAATCGAGCATGAAAGGTGTCCCGTGGATCCGAGATATCCGCCGGGGATCTCAGATATCCATTGCGGATCCGAGATATCCATTGTGGGTCCGAGACGTCCGTTTCCCCGGCGATTAACCTTGCCATGATCTCGTCTCTCGTCCGGCCTCCGATGCGCTCCGTTTCCCCGTTATGCCGTTGCCCTCTAATTTTATTTTTTTTTATTTTTATTTTTTTTTGCTTTCTCTCTTCGCATCGAAGGATCGTGGACTCGGAATGGGCTAATCGTGCTCTTCCTTTTACTGCATTTATCGTATTGCGGGAAGTGGGTCGGTACTGGATTCCTCGAACAATGTCTCTTTCTGGGGTGTAACACTGCATTGAGCGCAAGCCAAATATGCCTGCCTTTGTTTGGATCCTTTCACGCCGAAAAAGAAAAAAAAAAGATTAGGGGAGAAGACGATTGAAGTCTGCCCTGGAAATCCCGAGCGTCGTTGGTTTATCGCAGTTTCTTTCATGCTCGCCCGACGTCTCGTGTATTCTCTGCGGCCCTTCGGATTTTCGGAGTCTCGTCGCGGCAGTCGCCATTCCGTCTCGGGCCGTTTTCCCTCGTTTGTTGCCATGCGGCGATGAAGTCGGTTCGCATCGACCCTTTCGACCCGACGGCATCGCCTCTCGGTCGATGCGTCCGATAGAGAGCGTCTTGCCGTCGTCTCGTATCTCGTTCGCGTCCGATGGGGACTTCCGGCGGTTCGATGGCGTCGCTCTGTCTCCTCGGTGCCGTGATGTGACTGCATTTGTTCCAGATGAGATGAGAAGGGAAAATGCGAAAATGACTCCCAGAACGAGCCGACGGCGGAAACAGCCTTCCGAGCGGTCGTCGAGTCCGTGACGAAAAGTTGAGAGCGAGTCCGATAGATATACCGCGATGGGATCTCTTGGGGATGAGACGGATGGTATGTGATGTGGGGTTTGGGAAAGGTGGAGACTCCCGGTTGGCATGATCCCCATGCCCCTGACTTCTTCCCGCTCTTCCTTACTTGCCGGAAGCGGAAGTGGAGGGCGTGCTCGACTCATCTCCAGGAGTGAACCCAAACTCGCCTCGCCTTCTTCCCCCTCTTCCTCCTATTCCATCCCGGCGGCCCAGCAACAGCTTCACGAACTCCAGCAGAAGAGGAAGCTACAGAAGAGCCTGCGGAAGAAAGACCGGAACAGAGAGGGCAGGAAAGACGAAGGAGGAGGAGGAGAAGAAGAAGAAAAGAGAAAGCCGAAGAGACTCCTGCACAGCTGGCAGTTGGACTTCGGTGGATTTCGACACCACCGGAGCACGGATTATCTCGCGGCAGTGGTCCAAGAGAGTGAGAAGCGGATAGGCGAATCGGAACTATCTCGTTCGAAGCGGCATCGGGCCTGCGGTGTTCAAGCCACCCTCAGTGTCGATAGTTGCCCGCCGAATTTCGACCGACCGGTTTCGTGTTGGCACATTCCGGCGTCGTCCCAGCAGCACAGGAGTCACCTGAGACATTCCTGGGCCTGGTCCCTGTTTTCCTCCAGTCGTCCCTCTTCCCCCAACACCCGAAGCGTCGGGATTTCCGCTTCCGTGGACGACGTCTTCAATCCCCCGAAGCGACGGTCCTGGTTCAGTTCTCTGGCCTGGTTCACCCGCAGCGAGGAGACTCTTAGGAAGCGGAGTTCCACCCTCTATTCCCCGAAAGGGTCGTGCACGGAGATCCAGGTGGAAGAGATCACGGACCTCTCGTCCGTTTCCGCCATGAGTCTTCCGACGAGTCCGAGTCCTCGGACTCAACCCCCTCCTGCTCAAATCTCTTCCGCTCCGAGTTCCAAAAAGTTCAAAGAGAGACCCTTGTCCCAGCTGCTGCGAAAACTCAGTCCCGGCGGCAGCAATCGGAAGGAAAAGGCCAAGTCCTGGGTCGTCGTCGAGTTTGCTCAAAACTCCATCGAAGGCGGTGGAAACCATCGTGCTCAACAGGAGACGCCCACCTGCAACAGCAAAAAGGAGTCTCATAAAAAGGACTCCATGTTATCGGCTTTATCGCCGCGGAAAGTGCTGAAAGAAATGAGCGAGTCCATAAAGAAGGGCTCGGCGTCGTCGAGCCAAGCGCCTTTGCAAGAGGTCCGGGTGAAAATCATCGGGCCGGATGAATCCCCGGCTAAGTCTCGGCCGGATGAATCCCCGGCTAAGTCTCGGCCGGATGAATCCCCGGCTAAGTCTCAGGTAAGAATAATAACGGAACGGCGGGCCGATCTGCCTCGATTGGAATCGATCGATCCGTGTCCCCTCGATCGATGCGTGAGACGAGGCCATTAATTAAAAGGCGTCACCCGATCCGGGAGAGAAACCGGAGGAGCACGAGAATCGCGGACAGATGTCCGTGTTTATCCGGATGACGGCGCTTGCGTCCGCGAAGGAGGAAGGGTCTCGGTGGTCATCCCGTTCCGTCGTGCGGAAACGGGGAGGATGGAGCCGGAGTTGTTGCGAGTGCGGGTCACGTTCGTCCATCTGGTGGGTACTCGGTCTTTCGTGTCCGGGGGGCGGGATGCTGCATCTGGTGCGTGGACGTGGGACGTGCGTTTGGGAGTCCCGAGCGTCTCGAGGGTTCCGCCCGGGCGGAAAACGATCGGGATCTCCTCGTTTTTGGGGTCGGGTTAGACTCGAATCGGGAGTCGAGTCGAGGAGGAACTTTCACTTTTCTGTCGACAGAACGGACAATGAGGTCATGACGACATTTAATCTTGTATTTTTCCCCTCCAGCCTCACCTGATCTGCATTCCAATGAGTTTGAAGGACCGTTACGTCATCGAATTCCCCGTCCGTCGGGAGAGGAATCCAGAAATGGAATTCCGCTGGATGGAAAAGTGGTCTTCCGTTGACGGATCGCTTCTGCCCTGCGCGTATCTACTGTACTTTGCTCCCAGGCATCTCGAGGGAATCCCTTTCTTCTCCAAAAATATTCCCTCTTCCGTGGAGATGGGCTTTCGGCCCCAGGAGAACGAATTTCTTCTTTGATCTCGTCGAGAGGTTCTCATTCGATTCGCGGAAAGAGCCGCTCGAAAGATCGCCGATCGCCCACGCGTTCCGCCGCGTTTCTCGTCGTTTCGCGGACGGACGAGGTCGCGACGACGGGAGAAAGATCGATGAGGGCGGGACGAGAATTCATCCATTACGACGGTAGCTGCAGAAAATGCGTAGGTGCGAAGCAAAGGTGATTCGCGACTGATCGATGAGGGGGGCATCGGGCCGAGACGCGAAGGCCCTCCCAGGGCGAGATTAAACGAGGAACGAGGACATTCCGTGCAACCGTTTCCGTTTCTTCCCAGGAGAGAAGAGATGGCGATCCGGCGAGGCTGAAGGAGGGAAAGAAAATCAAGGAGAGAAAGGAGAACGAGGAGGGAAAACTTGCTGCTTCCGCCGTCGACATGCCGTCGCAGGTTCCGCTCAAACCGGGAGACACCAGGTCAGTCCACTCTCTCCCTCCGCCCCCCCCCCCCTTCTTCCATCGGGAAATAATGAGATGGTGTTAAAAGAAAATTGGCGTGGACGATGAGATGGTCGGTTCGACTCGGAAAACCGGAGTCGCGCTCGAATGCGGAATGCCATGCATGAGAAAGAATCCGAACCCGATCCATGGTCTGTGGACCTCGAAACCCCTTTGTCCTTCCGTGATCGTAGTGGAACGTAGTCGAACCGGGGAGACGAGAAAAAGAACTGCTGGAGGCGACATGCTCTGTCATGTGCCGTTAAAAAAATAATATTAAAAAAAATAAACCGGGGAAATTGGACGATGGCGGCTCCTCTCGGTCTGCCGTTTTCCGTCGGAGAATCTCGCACGATAATGGTTTTTGGGGGATTCTTTCCGTCTGTCGGGGGGAGCGCGAGTGTTTTCGAGCTTTCACAGTGATGGATGAGTGACGGATGAGTCTCTACCCCGGCGATGCGCTGGGGAGGGTCTTAGAATCGGATCGAGCCGCGAAGACAGACGGAATCCGATAGAGGTGGAGTCGGGTCCAAAATTCCGGAGGGGATTCCGCGTTGACTTTTCGCGAGCCTCGCAGAGCGAGAATCCTGATTGTGTTTGCCTTGAGATCTTCCGGAAGGGAAGAAGAAATTCGCTGTTCGGATATGAGCCACCAAATCCTGGCTGACATCCCGGATGGTCGTGATTTTTTTAAAGATTCATATCGAGTTCGTATGATGATGACTAAAATGTCCAGATCGAATCACAAATTTCCCGATAATTTTGAGCCAGATCACGAGTTCGAATCGAATCTTTCGGCCATTGAATGAATCGAAATGGAACAGGATCGAATTTCGAATCGAGTACTTTTTTATTATTATTTTGAAATCCGTGGAAAAGTTGGGAATGTTTTTTAGCTGGCGGGAGAGAAAGGTGCTATGCAGAACATTTTTTGCCGATGCTCAAATTGAATCTCGATCGTTCGCGTCTGGCCCGAATTGAATCGGGAAAGGGATCTCAAACTTTCTCGACGAAACCCGAATCGAATCGCAAATCCCATGTTTCACCGGTGATTTGCGGTTTGGGATTCGACCATCAGCGGTTTCCATCGTTTCTAGCTTTATAAGCAAATGGGTCATAATGAAAGACGTTGGAGGTCTTTTATTCATTCTTTTATTTTCCGGATCGCCCATTTCAGCCTAATGGCGTTGGCGGTTCAGGAAAGATCCAGGAGCGTTTTTTGATGACTCCAATTCTTTCGTTAATTCATATTTGATTAAACGAGCAGTATTTTTTTTTTTACATTGCGAGGATTTGCTCATTTCGTTGGTTTTCGAGCGATCCTTTCGTTTTTGGCAGGTATCCCCATTAATTTATACGTTGCATGAAACCATTCGTTCCGAAACAAAATTTTCAGATCTGGAAGACCGGTGTCCCTCGAAATCTGTCGAGTTCAAGGACAGGAAGAGGAACGCAAGCGCGCGGATTCCAAGTCCAAGGGGAAGGGAGGGAGTGCTTCTGCTCGTGGCCACCAGATGGAAGTGCTGGCATCCAAGATGGCCTCCATCGAATCCATCGGGACGTGCAGTCTCGAGGCGGAAACGACGGACGGAGAAGCCAGTGAACGATCTTCTACAGGTGAGACCTTTTTTATTACTCATTTCCAGCTGTCAGAACAAACACCGCCAGATTTTAAGGTCGCTGAGAATTTGGGCAGCTTATGAAGAGCCACAGATGGGGAAAATGATAAGGTTGGAGGTTACGAGGATCTATTGGGTAGCAGGATAGCTGGGAATCCAGGGTGAAAGCGCATTCATGGACTTTGAGCCCTCTGTGCCTGGTCACTATCTGTAGATTAAAACTACACTCCTAAAAGACGCCGATCTATTCGCTTCGTAGTTTCTGATAAGAATGGCAGGACAATTTTATCAATAACGAAGCGTCACTCGCTGATCGTCTCCGTGAAGCCCTCCTTCAGTCAGGCTACTTACTAGGTGCAGGCCTATAGCTTTGGACATGGACTAAAGTGAATCCAATGATTTATGTCTTCAAAGGCATGCAAGATTTACACCTGAAGTTGTCGAACATGAATCGCTAATTAAAGAGCCTAGAGAGCTGCATGGAATCGATATTTTTAAATTTAAAGATGAACTGGAATTGGGGAACATCTGAGAACAAATAGTCCAGACCTGGCCCAGCCTGGTTTTTCCTAAGTGGGAGAAGGAAATAGGGGCTCTTAGACCTTGGCCTGTCAGCCAGCTGATATTCGGTGCTGGTATATGACATTCTCTGGTCTCTCATGAGATGACTTAATTGCCCAAAATATGGATGAGGCATTACAGGCTAAGCCAATATCCAAGGCGAAGGGTGTCTACTCACCATATTAATCCAACCCAATTTAGTATTTTCTTCATTAGTCCAGTCAAAACTTTCAGAGTTCCAGTGTTTAATATTCAATTTTTAATGATATCTAGACAATACTTAGCCAAATGCCTTCTCAGGTGCAAAATCTTTGCATAGCAAAAGGCTTTGTCTTTAACCCTTTTGTTACTACAAATGTAACAGTTACGTTCAGGATATACTGAACTGGACCATGCTTACTCGCCAAAGAATACCACATGCTTATGTGTTACTGAGGTAAGTGAAACTTACAGGAGTTCATTCCAGTAATTACAAGAATTAAAAGCTAACTTTTACTTTAACACATCCAACATGCAATTGCGAAAAAAAATTTGCCAGGAAGGAAAGTGCTACGATTTAACTCTGTACTGAAAGGGTTAATATGTCCACTCATTCAGGAGTTCAATATGTCCAAGGCGCTATTGAAATTGGGTGGTTTTGAAAGTAGTGAGTCCATATCATCATGTCAGTTCAATAAGGTTTCATCTACAAGTCAGGCAAATTAAAAAGGAATGAATTTAAAATTCTGTGCCTTCTCAAGATTATTGAATGATTATTGCTCTGGAATTGATAAATATCATTTTCTAAAAAGTCAGACAACCATGTTGAACTGAAGTGATGATATTAACTTTCAACCTGTTGCCTCAAGCAGGGATACAGCAATATTTGGGTCATTATGACCCATATATTGTTGTATTCCTGATTGAGTTTATTTATTTTTGTTATAGTCTATTTAGCCTTTCTAATATATTTATTTTGACTTTTCTGTTTTGCAAACCATATGAGGGGAACCATTTACTGTTAGGTTTATAAATTTATTGAATTCATTTTTAATCCAACTTTTTCACCTTTTCAGTGGGTTTGCCACTATAGGAATCATAATTCATGGGTCCTGGTGCTAGAAATGTCCATCACCTCATCATGAGTTTGATGAATTATTGAATAGAAAAAGATGACTATCAAGTATGGGCACATCCTCTGGTTTTGCACAAATAAGAGAGAATGCATCCTGTGTTGAGGGCTTTGATATCTAAAAGCTTGTCAGTTTGCTGTTAATCTTCAAGGTGAGGCATGTATTGCATTATAAAATGGACTAGTCTATCTTGACTAGTTTTGAGAGCTCAAGGCATATTTTGGGGTAGGCTCATCTTAGTTTCTCCAAATTTCCATATTGCATAGAGGTTGGCTTATAATTATCATATGCCATAGGCATGGAGTGTGGTATGGTGAGCTCAAAGATGTTTAGATCATTATTCTATGAACCTACTTGTAGGTGTAGATAGAGGACACGGCAGCTAGTATCTTTCAAGACTTGAATCTGATGTGTTTTGTGATACACACAATAGGCCAAAAAGCTAGATGAAGGTGAGGAAACTCTGGTACAAATTAATTCAGAGCTGCTCAAATTTGAAAGATGCAGAATTTAAGGTATGTCTGCAGCAACCCAATCTGCTCAGGATTAATAATCAAGTCTGAATATGCTAGCTCATATCCACCAATAGTTCATGTAAATCTCCAACTGTACTAAATTAAGAGACAAATATAAGTTTAACCCTTCACTGCACTGTGTTCCTGATTGGGAAAATACCTGATTTATTTTTGTATATGATGGCTGAAGACTTGGGGTGTGGTGAATGGGAAATTCATGATGTTCCTGATTGGGGAGAGGATACGCATCCAGGGAAAGAATGTCTGATGATGGTGCTGAAGAAAAAGATGGTCCTCCCTCTATGGGAGGAAAAAATGAGTCTCTGCTGAGCAGTCTCATGTGATTTGTGCAAATCACATCCATATGATCTTCATCTCAGTGGGTCTATTGACCCTCTTAACACGTTGACGACCAGCCTATTTTTGCTTGTCCGCCGCGTGGAACCACGCACATTTTTTTGTCAAAAAATGCGTCCTGCCTTCAGGACGCATGGTCCCAGAAAACATTTTTTTGCAGAGTTTTTTTAGAATGTTGAATTTTTTGGAATTTTTATCAGTAATTACAAAATCATAATCTTCTGGAACGTTCTCAACAGTTCCAGATTCATTGAAAAAAAAAATGCATCCTGGCATCAGGACGCATTGTCACCAACGTGTTAACCCATTCACGCCCAGCGACTGCAGAACACTATGGGTTTAAAAACGTAATATTACAGTTCCCGGCGTCAATGGGTTAATATTAGTATTAATAGCTCTTCCAGTGTCATATGCAGTCCCATGAAGCAAATAAATTCATTTAATGCAACATATCTCTTCCAGAATAGCCTTCAAGTATAAAACTGTCTCTTCATGCAAAAACCTGAATTCAGGGGTAGCTTTGCTTAGAACTTTCCTCTGTTCCACTTTCAACTGAGTGTCACTACAATGCTAGGAAGAGAATTTTCTGGGCTTTGATAGTCAAGCTCATCAAGCCAAGCAAGTTTAGATGAGCATCAATCATAAAAAAATTGACACCTGAACACAGACATGGGCCTCTGATGGTGGTTTAGGGCAGGAAATGACTGTAAGCAAGACAAATATGCTACTATAAAATTCATTTTATGAGATGTAAATGGTTTATTGTTCATAAAATTAGCATTGAAGTTTTTTTTTGGAACCAATCTCTCTTTAACTGGTTCTACATGGCAGCTGACAAGCAAATGTATCAACTAGTGCATTTTTTTAGTAACTGTAATGTGTTACCCTAGCAGAGTTTTAGCTTGAAACCAGAGTGAAATAAACATGCAAGTACTTTCATCTCTTGGATGTGATTGGAGATGATGAAATAACTTCAAATAGGAATTTATGTTTTGCATTGCTTCAACTGCAGCCTTAAATTAAACTTAACTTCATGGCTTACTGCTAGCATTAGTTTCAAATAATGCTTATTGTTGCACCAAATTAATTCATTGTTTGACTAATTCACCCATGAATGGGAAAAAAAGGAAATATCTGGATTTAATAATCCTGCCATTCTCATTATCTTATATAACCTCATATAAATGAATAGGAAATTGCATAGTGAAGCTAAATGAAAAGGAAATTAAGTAGCTAAGCACCATAATTCTTACAGATGCATTTTAATCCAACAGGATATTAAATGCCCAAAATTCTATAATGCTTCTGTGTCTATGGAAATTGAGGTTTGACCACAAATTGCAAAATGCTTCTGTGCCCTCCACTTGACCGTATAAATTGCTACGATGAACCCAAGGACACAATTTTGGCTCTCACTTAAAATAAGCAAGTTTTTCCTAGAGTGATCCAAAACTGCATTTCATACAGAGCACAACCATGAGTTTTTAGGAAACAGGAGAAACTGGTAGTTCATCCATGAACACTAAAGAAAATACTAAAAGGGGCATTGGATCACAGCAACGTTCGCATAGTGGTGCAACCCAGCGCATAGTTTCCAGAAAATACATTCCCATCTACCATGGTTTTAGCATTCAACAACAAGTCAGTCCCTCATTTTAAATGGTGCACAAAATCTGACAAAAACAGAAAAAATTGCTGGTGTGTTCCCTGCCTGGTCAATGACTCACATGAAATTAGGGTAATGACACAGCCAAGATTATGTTTAGAGCTTTCCTTGAGTGTGTATGTAAGGATTCATCAGAAAGTGCATCTCTCATTATGCATACATACTAGCATGCACAAACAATTTATTTTGTATTGCACTGTCTCAGCACACTAGTCATAATAAACACCTTACTGGGCTCCAGATTTTATACCAATACAGGTAATTTCAGTTTGACATTGGACATCTAAGAGATCCATGTTTCTATGCTTTGTTGATTACTTTGCCCTTTTTCAATTTTGCTGAACTAAAAATATCACATCTTCCATTCAGATGAATTTACTACAATACAAGGAACAGCCAGAATAATTGATCATACTGAATGTCCTTAGATTCAGTTCCTAAAGACAAGAGAAATTAAAATTACTGATGGGGAAAATTACCAAGGGATCCAATAGGGATTAAACTCATACCTTCAGATTGTCGGTCATCCTCTTCCTCTTGCTCCTCGAGCCCCTCATCATCACTTATTGCATCCTCTTCATCTATGCCTTCTTCTCCCTCAAAGTCCTCAGCATCATCCTGAGAAGTGGGGCTCAAATGTAACCAACAAAACTGAAAAAACTCCCACCTCTTTTTTGAGCATCAGAATCAAATAAAGACAATGAATCAAAATCACTAGTGAATAAGTAGAGAGTTATCACAAAGCCTCACTTATGGAAAAAATTATTTCTGTCCGACAGTTTCTTAGAAAGGTACAGCAAAATTGACCTAAAAATCATAACTCATGAGATCTCAGAATTCACAGAAAGCATTCCATCAGATGTGAATAGTAATTATTAACCAACCTGAGGGCATGTAGTCACTTATCTATAAATATGACAATAGAAGAGTTTGAAATTTAAGAAAATGTAACTATTGTATGCTTATTACTTTACACGGATCTATAGAAACTTCAACAGTTAGAAATGGCAGTTTATATTATCATCTCTGACAAGACCAAAGAGGAAAACAACTCACTTCCAGAGAGTCATTATAAATGGCCTCCAGACCAACTTCACCCTCTCCATCCTCTCCTTCTTCCTCTTCTTCCACATCATCTTCATCTTCATCATCTAGACCTTCACCCTCCACCTCATCTACATAAAACCAAACATGCAATTTACCTAGACTTTCAAAATGCTCTTCCTTACATACTCATCTGCTAAAGAAGGACAAAAGAGGCATTGGATTTAACTAAGGAACAAACAGAACTCAATGGTAATGGTAAACTCTTTGTTTCAACTCTTCATTTCCAGAGAATCTCTTCATGATACTTTGCCTAATTTCTTTCACGTCTTCAAGAAAACACTGGGCATATCAGACTTAACCAGTTTACAGTGTAGCCTACACAAATGACTACATTGCGGCTCATATGAATATTTAGATTTAGATTTGTGTGGACAAAACTGGAACTCCAAATTAAAGAAACATTAATGTGAGCTCTCTCCCTTCATCCGAACAATTAAGACTGGGTTGGACCTGTCTAAAAATCTTCACCCTTTTAGATGAAGTTTTGGCAAGAGTTTGGGTGAAGAGGCTTCTTGCTTTCACATTAGATTAAGTTAAGCAGAGGCACAGAACAGATCCCATATGAGGATGCATTGCAGCTGCTTTCTTCAATAGATCAAACATTCTTCAGAAACATTCAGAATTTCTGCTGGCCTTTGTCTTTCTATAAAACTGGAGCCCTTACCCTCTTCCTCAGCTTCGTTGCCATTGACTTCTTCATCTTCACCATCACTCTCCTCTGCTTTGTCTTCCCGGTCATAGCCATCAAGGTAAGAAAGCTGTGGGATGAGCTCAAAGACTCGCTCACGATATTTATCTTCTCCAGTCACCTCACAGCTGAAGAGATCCAGGCTCCGCAGGTTTTGCAGCTTCTTCTGTAGTTTTTTTTTCATAAACAAATAAGACATGTACAAGACTTCCACATATTGTACAGAAGGCAAAGTCAGTGGTCAATATCATGAGCAATGTATAAAATCTAGAGTACAGTACCCCTACAAATATTACATTCATAGTCACACTATGCAGCCCCTAGAGTTAAACAGTTTAATTGAACAATATATCTGGATTCATTTCAACACTTCAATATGAATGGAATTTAAAGGTTGGTCAAAAGGGCCATTTTCTCACTTTTTTCAATCAAAATAAGAATCCTGAAAAAAAAAACCACTTGATTTAGTCACTGCCCAAGTTTTTTGCCATCAATGTGACAAACCTGAAAGTTAGTAGAAAAACTGCTCTTAGACTTAACTTACATCTTGCAAATGATTGATATGAAATGCAGAGATTGGGATATTACAGTTGTTCAGTAGGAACAATTTCAATTGAACACCGGAACTTGCACTGATAATCACACTTAACACATTGACTGCCAAGGGGCTTGGAGTCACTGTTCCTCCCTGACAAATGTGACAGTGTGTCTGTTCATCTATGAAATTACAATGAATTTGAAAATCAGGATATCTGCTGACAACTTATGAAATTTGTGAAAAATACAGAAAGCCATCAGGTGTCACTCACTAAAGGCTCTAGGGCACTGAGATCCTTGATCTTGTTGCCACTGAGACTCAGACTTGAGAGTTTGGGGCTCTCACAAAGTGCTTCAAGGCCTCCAGATATCCTGTTGTCACTGAGCTCCAGCTGGGAATTCAAATAAAACCCAAGGTTTGAACACAATAAGTGGCTATCACATTGTACTCAGCACCATAAATGAAAGTTTCAAGAACCACACTACAAGTCAACTCAAGAAAAAAAATTTTGCTATTAAATGTACCCATGTATACTTACTTACTTTCCTAATAACATAGGGAGGGGCTCTGGTTTCACAATGGACACTGGAATATCTGACTTGATTTACTAAGTATCATCAGGGTATATTTTATAGAGGAGTTCCATATATTCCTGAATTACATGGCACAGGACATTAATTGGCATGCCAAGAATCCTCCTCAACAATAAGCTGATCCTACAAACATGCTACATGAGCAATGGCATAGACTAACATAGCAATTACTACTAGTACACTCTTAATCACTTTGGGGAGATGCTATTGTCATGCACTTGCATTCCAATAAGAAATTATAATTAAAATCATAGGTTTCCCCTAGTTCTGAGTTACCTATACAAAGAACAAAGTACTTATTAGGGACAATATTATCTTGACAGAACACAAAAAAATGCCATCTACATACATACTACAATAAAGGAAAAATCAAGAAAGGAGTCAGATAAAAAAAATATATATATATATATAAAGTAGAAGTACTCTCTCAAATAGGTCTCTTCCTGGCCAAGGGTCAATTGGTGGTCTCACCTTTTTGAGATTAGGGAGCTTTGGAAATCCTTTGAGTGATGTCAGACCAACATTGATCATTGAAAGGTTCTCCAAGTTGACAAAGGCATCTGTTAGGCCATCTATACTTGTACCACGGCAGTTGTCCAAAGTGAGTGCCTTGACCTGTAGGATAAAGAGCCTAAATGAATCTCACATACATTTCTGTCTTTGTGAGATGTATTTTTCTATATTCTATCTATGAATGTTTTGGCAGTATAGATACACACAAAACCTCACCAAGTATCTCTAGTCAACCCTATGGTAGGACACACAATGAAAAGGGTTCAAATGTGCAAAAATCCAAAACCTACAAAATGGAGGTCTGCAGCATGTAACATTCCAGCCACAGGAATTAGCCCATGATAACAGACCCATCAATTCTCGGGCCCCAATGTCCATTCCACACCTAATATGATGTCTCACCCCAACAATACGTCAGTCAACTGTTGTGGCTGTACCACTTTAAGCCTGGCACAATGTTGGCCCATGGCAAGTGAAAAGCTCATCTGAGCAGCACTGACAAATTTCTCCATTGAAGGGAGATACCACAGACAATTGAACAATTTCCTTAATCTGGTTACAGCCATAATGATATTCAGTTTTTCTTAAACTGAATCTGGAAAAAAAAGCACTCTCCGGTTAAGAGTCACACCAATCACAGACAAACTATTACTACGAATAGACTTATCAGAAGCACCAATCACCTTGGCTCATAAAATCATCTATAGCACCCAAAAGGACAACCAATACATGATTTCAGTGCGAAATTGTAAATTCTCATGCCTCTTCTTATGAGCAGTTTAAGCCTAATGCTAACTGTAGTTGTAGCTCTTCCCTTCATTGAGCGATTGAGTATCAGAACTCTTGGTATTCTAGTTGAAGCCCGGACCCTAGCTGCGCAGCTATGATCTCAGCTGACGTCCTTTGAATCGCATCACTCAATACCCTACATACCTATCTCCTCAGTGCCTAAAATGCATCAACTCCCCACCAAAAAATGCTTTCGTTAATGGGAAATGGCTCATGACATCTAAATCCGATCATTTTTTTGCTAATTATGTGCAAGAAAGGAGGAACTACATCCCACTTGCATAGAAGGGCCGCACTACTGTCTGCAGCCGGGAGCGAGAGTCAGGGACAAAAAGCGTCCCCGCCATATTGCTCACAGTCATTGAGACAGTGAAGCCAACGTCGCATCATGTTCACCCGTGTTCTTCAGACCATCTCACCCTTCACCTAAGCGTCCGATCCCAGGCACATGGGTCTGAGGCGCTACTTCACGTGTCCTCTTGGTCACTGACGTGAAGGATAACGTGTACAGTCGACTAAGGAAGAACTGTGGAAATGCGTCGTAGGAAGACACACATGCAGCTCGGGTGGGGGAGGGGAACCGGGCCAGGCCCGTTCTGCGTAGGAATACACTGGAGGGAAGTGACGATGCCAGACAATATGGCGCCGCCCTCGTACAGTCTCTGCAACGAAGGCGACAGGAGGTAGGATAGATGAATATGGAATCATGTTACCTCGCAAATAGCGATTTAAATATCCGCGTCGGAGATGGTAACACTAAAACCTTCGTAATGCATCGTCATCGTTGCCAACCACTATCGATATTGTCCAACATTACGTCTGGTTAGGCAACACATCAGGCTCAGAGGTACTGGTCAGAATTTCAAACACCATTGGGAAAATGATATTGTGAAAGGCCCTCATGAAAAAAACCAAGTATATATAAATTTATATATAACAACGTTAGCCTAACCTGTCGCTGAAATTACAGCATGAAAACTGATTAAAAACTACAATGAACCTATCAAGAAATAAAAGTTTGTATCCAAATCTCTACAATGACAGCATTTTTCATAAGTCACTCAAATTGTCAAATGACGAAAAATAGGCTTTATTTATTCATCATACCCAAAGCTTAAAATAAAAACAATTTAACACAAGTTAATCTAAAAGGGTTTCATATGAAAAATTTGTCCATGTGAAATGGTAGTAAAGAAGTTGGGCTGGCCTGGCTGCATAACTGCTGTCATCTGATATCAAGTGATTTGCCAGTTAAATGACAAGGAGGAATTATTTTCATGAGCAATTTTCATTTATAGAAACAAATTGCATTATAATTTGTCCAGAGCTAGAAGAATTATAGCAAAGAAACTATACTTATATTGTCTGAAGCTATTTCTTAGGAAGTTTTACATAATGAACCAAATTCTTATATTTCTATCAATAAATATCCCAACAATGAAGTTTGAAAGATCCATTTGCTCTTACAATCAGCGAAGTAAAAGAGTTTCAATAGCACATCACCACTTTCAGATACAAACTGATATCCAATGAAGAAATTATGCTATTGCTGAAACTTTGCCATATGTACAAGTTTTCATACTTTTTATTAAATTTTTTAACCTTTCTGTTAATTTCCAGGTATGCTGCTGAAAGATTATGTACTAATTGAATTTCTAAACAAAGAAGGAATGTCAGCTGCTGAAATCATGAATTAGTCTCCAAGCTGAGCATGATGTATTCAATAGACAATATGCAGGAGTGAATGTATGAAATGGCCATCTGGCCTCTGTTACCAGACATTAAATGAGAGAGAGTGAGTGGAATCATTTGGGACAACCACTATATGACTGTGCTATTGCTCAGGATTTTGGATGTGATTATAATGCCATCCCTGTCCATTGTCAGTGTTATAAATCTTTGATAGCTTATCCCACCCCCATAATCCTACCTAATCACCTACCCCACCTTTGCTAATGTCTATAGTTAATATATTGTTATATTTGTGAACCAGTCTGAGAATAACTGAATTCCCAAGCTTACATTCATTCAATGCTATGGAATTCAATTATTGCATGCTTTTTAATAATGGGTGAGTAATCTCCCAATCAACAGTAATACCAATATAAACAAAGGTTTCAACTAGCTTCATAGAAAACTGCAATCTCCAGCTTCTCTTTTAATAGAGGAAAAAGGCATAACATTCAGCATGCCTCTAATACTTGAAATGCACAAGTTTAAGGCATCATGCTTTCTCAAAGCAGTCATGATCTATCTTGAATGTGTCCTGCTCTAAATTAATCATGAATAGTGAGTTCAAATGAAGAAAATTAATGTTTGCAATCAGGAAAGAAGAAGGATTCTGAATCCAGAAGCTACAGAGCTTTAGAACCCAATAATAGAGTCCATGTATTCTCAAAGGGCCAATATCTAAAGGATCCTTATACAAGCCTACCCCCTTTGTCAACTTCATTCCCAATTAAGACTCAATAGAAAAATGGGAAACACTCCATAAGGAAACATGCATCAGCTGGTTAGACCCTCAAAGTGTCTGCAAGTATTTAATTCATTGCTTTAAAACAAATATGATGTTGGATTAGCCAGTGCTTCATAAATCATATCTTATTGAAGCTAGGTTGAATGGTTCAGCTCATTGTACAAGGGAAAATGTCCCAATCACAATAGTGGGCATGTAAGACTGGTAGCCAGACAGCCATAGGATGCACAAGGGCTCCAAATCAGCATTCAAAATGCTGGCAGTTGGTCTACTGACTGTTCTGCTCAGGATACTTGTCTTACTTTTCCTGCCACACAAAGACTTTCTCAGAGGCCCATATTAAATGCCCTCTCCTAGCACAAATGCCACACTGATGAGATCCATGCACTGCAAAGGAGCAAGCCCTGACATCACCAAGAGTCTAAGCAAGGCATTCTAATCTTCTGGATGCTAAGATCGAATGGGTCTTACACCAAACTTGCTCATATCTTTTAAATATATGCCAGACTGGTCATGTAATACTGACCACATTAGACAAGATTGGCAAACTGTATGTAAAGGAATAAGGGATACTTCTCTGATGCTCATTAGTTATATACATATAGCATCTACCTTTGACTCATAAGCCTTATCCCAAGGCCTCAAACTAAATTCTTCATTAATCACGAGTTGTTCCAGACTCTTTAGTACCAAACAAAATTGTCTATAACTTCTACATACAAACCATATGGACCATACCTGTCAAGCTATTGACAAAAGCCATGGAAGTTCTGCTCAATTATCCAGCAGTTTCCAACAGTATCCAATAAACTACATAGAATGAATGTATAGATGCCAATATTACTCAATACATACCAGGTGACTACGTACAGCATGAAACTGTTGATTCAACTAGAGAGGCTCTTGAAAAGACATGCCTGTTCTATTACCCAGCTTAAAGCTGGCACTCAACAGAATCTAGTATAGGACTCACCCCATACCTCTTGCCATAACAACAAATTATGTTGACTTGGAGAAAATTACTTGCTGCTATGTTGGTAAAATGTATGAGAATTACAGTTAGAACTATTAGTAATTAACAATTTACTAGCTGAACTTAAAATACATCATTCAAAATCTGCCGAGTCCAAATATAGACTAAGCCACACCATGACAATTTCCATAAAGACAAGGCTGCTAAGCTGGCTTGGCTACAACTCCAGGGCCTAGCTGGGCATTGTGTACCATATATGATGACCAATGTTGAAGGATCTATGCTTCTTTGCAATAGATGACAGGAAAAGTAAATGAATGAGGATCAACTATGCATGATTTCAAACATCAATCCTCCTGAGTTTTGAAATCAGACAGACATTCTATGCATCTGCCATGATTGCACTTGATCACCACCATTCTCATCTGTGGAAATTCCACTGCATTTCACTATAGGAAATACTGTTTTATTCTGCAATTTATCAGTCTATCTCTTACATAATTAGCATTATTTACCAGCTACTTACCAAAATTTGTCAATTCAGCAAGTTAAAGCCTCATAGATTAGTGTGCTCTCCAACATAGGCTATCATGATATCATATGCCTGGAAGACTGAGGGTCTATCCTGGTCAAGAGTGACCATGGCTAAGAGTAGCCATACAGATTTTCTAGAGTGCAGTCATATGAAATGCTCAGCCATTAATACATAGTGCTGAATATTTGCACTAAGTCCATGCTAAGCATTCTACTTGATACCTACATGTGGCACCAAGTCTCCTGTCGTTGGATGAGCAATAACAGATGGAGGCTTTTTTATTTTATTTCATTCAGGTTGCTAAAAGCTATGGTGATGTCACCCTGGGGCATGGGTTGATCAAAGTAGCAGTAGAAATACTGCCTCAACTGCCAGCTTATATTATTGATAATATCCCTATCACATTATATCATGTTTACCCTAATTTGGGGCCAAGTCAACTTGGCAATAGATTGAAAACTAGTCCATTTTGATTTTCACTGACAGAATGACTAGCCATAAAAAGAGCAAAGAGGGCTATACTCATGAAACTGGCCCATGGTTCTTGGTATAAAAACCTTATTCAGGTCAAACTGGACTCAAGTGCTACAGGCCCAGACTTTGCTACCCTTCTCACATATAAAGGACATTAATGCCATAAACCCGTCATGGCTTAACCTAATGACTCAGCTATTGAAATAAGGAAGCCCAAGGCCCATACCGCACTCAATAAAGGCCTACCAAACGCTAGGCGCGCGAAAACCCTATGCTGTTAAGCACACCTTCAACAATTTCATGAGGACCAAACCGAAGCGTTTCAGGAAATGATTGTTTTCTGTTGCATTCTCCCATACACGTGGTGTAGGCCTACGAGATATCCTCTGGATGGCCTTCGAAAAGTTTAATTTTCAATCCGGTTAAATGAATTGACACATCACAGACCTGATCAGGGGTTCTCCCTCGAAGTTCGAGCTCGATGCGGTCCTCCATCTTCTTCTTTTCCATTGCCTTCTTAACGAGAAGTGTGAAGGAAGTGCCACTGGACACGAGTTAGGGCATGAATGACGAGATGTGCAGCCAGTAAAGAGAGAGAAGAGAAGCCGATGGGACTCTGCTTCCTTGACAGACCTGAGTGGCCGAGTAGCTCCCGACGCAAGCCGCTCTACGCAGACGCAAGGCGCCAATACCTCCTAGAGCGAGGCTATCGCATCCGCGGTTCTTCCCGCGGGATTGCAGCTTGTCCCGCATGATGGTCTACCAGGCAAGCATGCACACACTGCGGTCTTTCAACTGGGTGCCGCGGTACCGGATAACCTGTCCCGCTGTGCCACAGCTCATCTTCCACTCGCGGTCGCTGCCGGCAGCGACATCTTCACTTTGCCACCAGCTCAACGGGACCTCGGCACTTTCTTTTGCTGTCGTTACTGAAGCGAGATAATGCTAATGAAATGTTATTATTCATAGCAGTTTCATAATTGAAATTGGAAGAGATGAGATATCGCCACGAAATGAAACAGGCAAACCTATAGAAGAAGGAACTTCGAAATCCCCTCCTTCCAATAGATGTCGCAAGTGGAATTTCCGTGAGGTAAAAGTTGGGAGGAATCTCTTCAGCTGAATCAAGACCCATTCCTATGGGTTCTAATCTCGTGCCATACTCCCTGTTGTTTAACCCTGGAAGGAAACGACAGGTGAAAACGAAGTTTAAAAAATTATCCTCTGAGATTCCCCATCGCCGGACTGTTAGCATTTCTATCCCAATGATGGCTAGCTGAAATAAAGAAACTCCAAATTTAATAGGAATTGTGATTGACTTCGCACGTGTTTGATTCCTCGTACTTCCCGGATCCACGCAGTGAAGTTTGCGATGGCGAAATCCTTTGAGAGGACCAAGTCGACGCACATATGCATGTCGATCTCAGTGGCGGCTCGTGATATTCAGCAGTAGTGGATCGTCAATGAAGGTAGGGTAGGCCCGGGTCTACCCTACCTCAATTAAGAATACACTACCGTTGAATATCACGAGCCACCTATGGTCGATCTATAAGTCGCTGTAGGCGATCGGCGAGTAAGTAAAGGTAGTCTCCCGAAACACGACACAAGGAAGTAAAATCCTGGGAAGTCTCGAGTGGAGGCACAGGGCCAAAGTAAAAGCGGAGCCATGACCTGAGCATTTCTGCAACACACACCGCCTTCGAATCGTTGATATGGATAGTTATGGACTGCCTTTTGCCTTGCATTCCATTCCGGCCTGGCACCCCCTTGGAGGTAATAATTTTCTCCCCTGGTTGCGTTTGGGTGGGGTTTGGCGCCATTATGCTGCCCTGCCCCCCGACTCTTCAGCCAAAATACGCCACTGTATCTCACGTTAAAACCAGAACGAGAAGACTGATCCAGCCGTTATTCATAAGACGACCAGGGTCTCTACGTTTCTACGTCTCACTTTACTATCCGCATGTTCTGGTTGCCCGGCAGGCGGATTCCCGTTTACAACGCAACCCATTTCCAGGCTGTAACATGCTGCTAATATATTTTATTATTGCAATCATTTCTACCGTTTGAGGAAGCTCAAGTAACGGAGCAGCATCTCTTGAATTAAATATGCAGAAACCAGTCGCGATTTACCACATCGCTGCAGGTACACATCGTCTCAACCTAGAACTGAAGTCGGTCACCAAGTAAAGTTTCCTTGAAAAACAATTGTGAACACTCCATTAACGGAAGTGAGCCCGACGGGGCTTCCAATCCAACTGCAACGATCTAACTTAAGCGTGAGTCTCTTATACAATCGACTTCACTTTATCACCAGTTTGTGAGGCAAAATTATACTTGGACGTACCTAACAAGATCGTACCTGAAATATCATGAGCCAGAAATTTTATTTTGGTATGACAAAAAACTCATTTTTCAGCAATCCTTCTTCAGTTATTCTTCCAGTGAACTTGGAAACAAAGCACTGACTAAAGCAATCTTCCTGCTCATCATAATGAAACAGATCCAGGTGGCTAAGAAAGTTATCATGAATGGTTACCTTCACAACTACTTTGGCAACTTTTTTGTTCCCATTAAAAATTGCACATCATCAACGTGCAAGCAAAAAATTAATCAACGATGCCACAAATTGAACAAAGAAGTTCTCATGAAAGATGCAGGTGTCAAAATGACAGCAGAGCAAGAAAAAACAGACATGCAAACTCAATTGTTCATGGAAACATGGATGTATTTCCTGATGCCTCGAGAGTATAACAAAAAAAGATCAGCAGAATCTGCACCTCAAGGAATCATCCATCCAAGAAATCACCATTGGGACTCCCAAAAAAAAAAACATTTCATCACCTGACTCCAAGTCAGAAGGACTAGGAGAAAAACAAGAAAAAAACACATGCTTTTCTGTCCCAGGGAACTATGCACACCAGCATCTTTGGTGACCTTGCAAAAAAACTGCAACACTGTCAATGTTGTCAAAATACTTTGCACCTCATGAATCCTAAAGAGTGCTTTAGTGTGAAAGCAACTGAGAAATGGATTAAATTTTATAATGCAACACTAAAAACATATTCAAGCAAGTGAGTACATTTTGGCAACTTTTTGTGATTGACAGCATAGCATAATAAAGCTCCTTGATGGAAGTGATTGGGCAACACTGCAACTGTGACCGGGCTGTGGAAGCTCTTTTCTTTAATCAAAGGATGGAATTAATCTTTCACGTCCCTCCCTACAAAAAATAACAAAAAACAACTTTGGGCATAACTGCACTTAACAGACGAGGGAAAAAGCACATGTATCCAACAATACTGGTCCCAATCCAACAACACTAGTCTAATAAGCAAGGCAAAAGAAGAGAAAGAAGAGCTGGAGCAGCCCGGTCACTTTTAACCCTGTCCAAGTGAGGAAAGAAAAAAACAAGCAAAGCTTTCATACAATGTTTCAACTTTGTACGTTCCTCTCTCACTGTACAATTCTAAAGCCTCAATCAGCATGCATTCAGCCTGCTCTTCATTCTGGTGAATCCTTCTGGAATCTGGTGCAAACAGGATACATCTGACATGACCACAAATTAAGATTCCATCATTTTGAGTCTTTCATGAGGAATGAACAGGGTAAACTTTCTCTGTTTTCCACCAAGGTTTTCAAGAATTAGTGTCCTTCCTTGCATGACATTATATAGTCAGCAGACACTCTGAGAGAGGTGGCATAAAATTGTGGAAAAAAGGAACATCAGAGGAATTGTGAGTTGTGGAATGTAAGAAATTCTGGAACACAGAAGCAGCTAACATGAAAATAGCACCAGAACGAAGCTAGCAGGTTGTACACATTCACAGACACTTGCCAACAAGTATATTGCATCATCTGCAGACTCTCCTCATCCACTAAACAGGATATTGCACAGCTATGCAAACTCTAAACCAATGCTTCACAGCAAATTCATGCTTCTATCAACCTACATGCAACTGCATAAGTGTACTTCACTCTTTGTTCATATGCAGGTGATTCATGTTCAATTTTGACCACTTCATTATGTTTCCAAAGTAGCTAGCAAAAACCTGCAGTAATATATAAATATCCTCATTTCAAGGAAAGCTGAGGGGCATTAGTTGGTTGCTGTCCGACTCGTTGAGTGAGGACCATTTTGTTCTATTCAAAAACTGAAAGTTTGGGACATGAACTTCATTGAAGTTTACTGCAGTAAAACAAGAGATATAAAAATTTTGCAGTCTCATATTACATCCACTGATTCCTAAATTAATGAGCATCCTGCTGTCAATAAAATAATTTTGTTGATGTTAAATGACATGAATGAATGAATGACATGGCTGAAAAACCTGAAATCTGGACATAGAACAAAATAATCCTCACTAGGCAACATGTCAAACGTACCATCCATTTCTTCTCACTTCCACCAGTGTATTCAAAGAATGTTACAAAGTATTATTTTAAAATTCTTGGAAGTGCCCCAAGGCTGAAATCTGACCAAGCATTCCACAGCATTTACATGGAATCACCCTGGTGGGAAAGCCATTGACAAACTCTCACAGATGACATGCACAAATCATTTTCAAAGGAATCCACACAGCACAGTCTAACAGTTCTTTCCCATTTCTCTATCTATCAAATCATTTCAAAACTCATTTTAAAAGTCAGACTGGAAATGACAAAGCAGTTCTCCAAAATTCCTAGTTTGGAAAAGAAAGGGAATAAATATGGTGAAGGCCATCCAGGAATTCCATTTTTAACACAGGCACATATTGGAGGAGGAAAAAAATAAAAGAAAAAAGTGAGAAGGTTCTCATGACGGGTGAGAAGTGAGAAGTCGGATTTGGCCTTGAAGTTCCCGGATGCGTTTGTCCCGCTGTGTCACCTCTTTCCGCAGACGCTTCACCTCCTCTCGTAGCTGCCAACAAATGTGATCAAAATTTCATTCAATGCCTTTCTCACACAAACAGCATTGTCAATGCAGTGTTACCCCATTTCTAAATGGCATAAGCTGCTGGTACACAAGATTCACATATCATGGCAAGCTTGGCTATCAACCATCCACAGCATTAAAACTTTGGGGTGGAGGGGAGGAAAGGCCCCATAATCATTGCCTAATAAGTTTAAATATGAAAATTAGCCCTTTCTAATATATGCCTGGATCTGTAAAAAGGTACTCATTTAAATACTGCATAGAAATTTGAATAACTTCTCAGTAGTTCTAAGAAAAATAGACCTTCAGAATTTGAAATACTTTAAGAACCTTAAGAAACTGAAATAGAATCTGCTATTCAGCAGACCTATACTTTCTGGGAGCATGCAAAGTGGACTTTTCCTCATGAAATGAGGAATGGCAGTAAAGAAATAGAATGAAAACTCTTCAATACAGGTTTAAGCATCATTCAAATAAATCTGATTGATATGCAATACCATCATTTCTTCAGCCTACATATGTGAAATCTATGCAAAGGCAGCAAGAGCATGGTAATACAAAAAAAGATGAATGCTTCAATATTCCGGGAGCATTGCACCACAGGGCAGTGTGTACAGTAGAACGCCGATTATCCGAACGCCGATTATCCAAAACGCCGATTATCCGAACTGCCCCAGTCTTTTTTATTACTGTATATTGTATTCTATGCACTAACTTCTTTAACGCAACCTTTCCGTGGGAGTGTTCGGCTATCCGAAAAAAATTGGTTATCCGAACCACCCCCGGTCCCAATTAGTTCAGATAATCGGCGTTCTACTGTATATGAAAAAAGAAATACTCAAGTAACTGCTGGGGAACACTAGACAACCTCAAAGTTGAAGGTTAGACTCCTGACCTGCTGGGTGGTGAGGGAGAGGTCATCATTCACGTATTTGTCATTATGGATGACCTCAGGAGGTTCTCGATGGACTCCATTTGTCAGTTTCCTCTCGTTATCCTCCCCACTCCTTCCATTCATCTCTTCCCTTGCATTATCACCCTCATCACCATCCTAAAAGACAAGGTTAGTGAATAAGTCAGAGGACATGAAGCCATCTGAAATCTGTAACAGGGTTGCCTCCAGATATTACAAAAAACAACATAAAAAAAGCCTATGTCATTGCTAAATCAATCACTGAATCAAGGAACAAGGAAGTCCAATCAAGGAAGTCCAACAGCAAAACAGCTACTATGTGACTGCATATCCATGAGTCCAAAGTAATGGGACATGGCTACTTGGATGCCAAAATTCTCAACTCCTAATTTACTAAAGCTGTAGATTCACTAGCCATAATCCCAGTGTAAATCCTGATGTAAATTCTTCTCAGTAGCTCTGCAGCCTCCCTGAGCAAAAAAAAGCAGCCGGTTCAGGTAAGAAGGAAGGGAACCATCATGCCCTAGATCACCAGAGCAAGCAGTTCCTAAATTATATGCAGAGCTACCTATATTTTGCTCATTCAAGACTGCTATTCATGAGGAAGGTTTTAGGAGGATGGAACAGACTGCAAGTGGAAAAGCATGAACTATGATGAAGGCTAAACCTTTTACTTCAATCCTGAATCGTTGGTGACCAATACAAAAACCCCATATTGACCAGGGAGTGGATCACACCCAATAGATTGGGTACCTCTGACATGAACTTTACTTTTCTCCAAAATGGGGTAAGCCAAATTAAGCACCAATCTTCAAGTCACTCCAACTTTACAGACAAAATTCTCATAGAAATGAGACAGAATGAGGAAAAAATCTAATTTAACCCTGAAATCTAGCTGTTTCCTGGCATTCTTGACAGATATGTAATCTGGCTAATGGAACACCTGTTGACATCAAAATGTGAATGATCTGCAAAGCAGGAGCATAAGTGGTTGGGTGTCTTTAGTTCTGTTCAAAATTAGCTCAAACAGTAAAACCCTGCTAAGTGATTAAGCTAACAAAATTCACAAGTGGGCAAATATTAAGCTTTACTAGAAAGTACAGATGCAAACATTATAATGCATGATTGTGCAACTTTCCAATCATAGTTTCCCATCAGAAAAGGAATCAATTTGACGAACGGAACCATGCCATTTTTAATCTCATAGCTTTGACACCTGTAAAATTTTCCTTTGTTTATTTTTTTGTTCATGAAAGTATATTTTCAATTTCAAAATTCAAAGCACAATGTAGGCAGTTTTTTTTCCCCTATTCCTCTACTTTGCCATCAGAATTACTTGTCTATGTGCTGCTTTTGCAAGGTCATCACATCTCATCATACTTGAGTCTAGGAGCTCATTGACCAACTGAGTGATTTATTCTATCACCCCAAAGGCTTTTATTTATTCTTTGATTTAAGCATACCTGATTGGGGCCAGATGGAGAGGACCTTTGGTCCCAGAGGTGATGGATCTGCTGGAACCGCCTTACACCTGGTGACTTGGGGGCTGTGTCACCATTCCCACTCTGACTAGCATCCCCCTCTTTTGCCTGGTAAAACATCATATTGCATCCCATGAAAGAAAGTCATCCATGACAGCACAGCTGATGGCTGATTTGGAAGGGCATACTGAACAATGCAGGGTTATGAAAGAAGATGGGATGGGAAAATATGGATTAAGTGGGTTCAGGACATTCCCAGCACTCTAGAAATCAAATTCAAAAACAGAAATATCAGGATGATGTCAAGGAAAATTTGGGAAAAGAGGAGAGAGCAATTCTGGTCTTACTATTGAAACAATCATGGCAAGACTGGTCCAATAGTGGCCCTAATTTCCAGCGGTAAGACTTAATCAAATCATTGAATTCATTTAATCATGTTCTGAACTGTAACTGCCATAATTCATTTTTGCAATAAGGTTTAATGACTCAGACATCATTAGACAAGCCATGAAGTGATTGGGTAGTTGGGATTAGTGGTGGGTAGTGTAGAGCTAAGGAAGGAAGGGAAACAAAAGTTTCGAACATCCACCCTTTCATCTATCTCTATACATGCCAAATTCCAATCCTAGTTTAACTCTGAAATTTCATGCTAAAAAGTCTGCCTTTGGTACAAACATCAGTAACATATCCCAGTGAGTGCTTTAGGTATGTATTTCAGCATACCAATTATTTCCACGTCAGTCCAGGTTATAGTTGTTGGATGATAAAAAGGAGGACAGAGCAAAAGTTGGACACAGGCATAGGAAGAATCATATGAGCTCCCTTATCTTAGAAAGGAGGCCTGCTAATACTGTTATCAGGTTGATTCACTTGAAATGGCGTTTCCTGGTACCATATGAAAATCCTATCATATTTCAGCCGATAATATGAGATCACTTTGACTTGTTACATATTAAATCAAAGCTGATATTGTGATGGTGATTCTACTTTATTTGCTTTTGTTCTTCTTTTAATCTATCCTTTTCCCCCTGCAATTCCAGATGTCGGTAGAAAAGTCTCATATTCGTGTTTGCATGCTTTATGAATTCAAACTCGGAAGAAACGCCGTAGATGCGACCAAAAACATTTGTAAAGCTTTTGGAGATGGTGTTCTTCCTGTTCGAACGTGCCAAAGATGGTTCAAGAAATTTAGATCTGGTGATGAAAGCTTGGAAGATGACCCGGCCAGAAATCGAATCAGTGACCTCAACAAGGACTCCTTGGAAGATGTAGTGAACTCTGAGCCGTTCTTGACGCAGCGGGAGTTGGCTGATGGACTTGACACTTCTGAGTCAACTATCTGCAGGCAACTTGAGGCGATTGGAAAAGTGCAAAAAATCGGAAAATGGATTCCGCACACGTTATCCATTCAGAATGAGATGCAGCGCTATAACACTTGCATTTCTCTCTCTTCACGTCAAAATCGCCAACCTTTCTTGGATCAAATTGTGACTGGAGATGAGAAATGGGCCCTATATGTTAACATTAAGCGGCGGAAACAATGGGTGGACAAAGATCAGGTGCCAGAACCAACTCCAAAGGCTGGACTACATCCAAAGAAGATCATGCTCTGGGTCTGGTGGAGTATGAAAGGGGTTATCCACTTCGAGTTTCTTCCCACGAACCAAACTATTACTGGCGATCTCTACGCACAACAACTGGACTGACTACACCAAGCGCTACACCAAAAGCAACTGGCACTGGTCAATCGAAAGGGAGTCATTCTTCTGCATGATAATGCTCGACCACATACTTCTCAAATTGTGAAACAAAAATTCAGGGAACTGCAATGGAAAGTTTTGGCACATCCACCATACTCTCCAGATCTTGCACCATCAGACTACCACTTGTTTTGCTCGATGCAGAACCATCTGACAGGAAAAAATTTTCGAAATGAAGATCTCAAAAACGAAATAGCTGCCTATTTTGTTTCAAAGCCAGCAGATTTCTATGCCAGAGGAATCCTGCAACTACCAAAAAGGTGGCAGGAGGTTATTGATTCAGATGGAAAATATGTTATTGATTAGTGTGTATTATATTGAATAAATTATCACTTTTAAAAAACCAAAAAAAACGCCATTTCAAATGAATCAACCAGATACAAGAATGTTGAAAGCTCCAAATAGAAATTGTGTAATTTAGGGGACAATAGGCAATGCAACGTATGTGTGAAAGAGTTGGAGAATTGACTGTACAGTATATGCATGTTCTTTGGTTTCTGGTCACAATAGAATAATAATAATTTCTTCCCAATTCTTTCTGTTTTGCCACTAAATAAGCAAGATGTGGAAGCAGATAGTGTGTTGTGCCGTAGACCATTTCTGGCTTATATGGTCATCATTCAGAAGAGATTGCTTCCATGCATGACCTTTTTTGAAATTTAATTATTTAGTGGGCAGTTTTTTTAAACTTTAAAATGGGGATCCAGGCAACTTGCAACAGCCAACAGGAAGGATTCCTTCTGGTGGAAGTAATGCTCTAAGACATGATGCAGTCCTTTGTCCCCAGTTGCTCTCTGCATTTAACACCCTGAAAGACCCATCTCTCTGCCAAAGTTCTCTCTAAATTAGCTTGCAACTTCTTAATGATTAATTCTATAATTTGAAATTGTCTCCTTTCGAATGTCCAGGTTTGTTGTGCACTGGAGTGTGCCACAGAGCATAGCTGCTTTCTACCAGGAATCAGGGAGGGCTGGACGTGATGGCAAGCCATCTCGATGTCGACTTTACTACTCTCGATCAGAGAGAGATGCTGTTGCCTTCCTCTTAAAACAAGACTATGGGAAAGCAAAAACCACAGGAAAACAGCTTCAGGCTGAAGCCTCCTTCAAGAGCTTTCAACATGTCATAAAGTATGCTGAAGGTATCAGGTAAGCACTGCCACCAATGGAATGGTCCCTAGTTTGAAAATCAGTTGAAGTTTGAAATATGAGAAGCATATTCAAGTTGATCTCAAATAAATGAGTGTTCTCATTTGTGCTCTTGTCTTACTATACTCCAGCTGCTTGATTTCTTTCTTCTCATTTATTTATATTTCATTTTGTCTCATTTATACTTGTAAAGTACTATATATCTGTTACCAGTAACAGTGGTCAATTTTTCTCATTTGTGACATGGGCCCTGCATCTTTTCATAGCTGGTGCTGGAAGCATGCACAGTTGCAGAGCAGGATGGGAAGGGTAATGGAAAGTATCTGGGAGCAAGCCTCCAATTTCACTTGCTCCCACGTTGTATGCAAGGAAATGAAGGGTGTATAAGTTTGCACAGGAACTACTGAACTGACCTTGAGACTGGCTCTGAAAGTGGAAGGATAGGGCAGGGCTAGGCAGAGAGGGATCCAGGGTTTATCAAAATAGGCCTGATCTGTGGTGGAGTGGCATGTTGTTCAGTGAATGACGAAACCTTGTTGGACTGACAGACTTTGCAGGGATCCCTGCAGTATATAGATAACATCAAGTATGCATTTATACCCCCCTGGAAAGTCCTCATGAATTATCATTAGCATCTTCTGTTTTATAAATTGAAGTCTTTTTGTGGCTGATTTTCATATTGCTTTAAACATTCAAAATAAAAAATGGTAGGGAGGCAATGAAATTGGGATTGGAGTTCTTCCAAAATAATGACAAATAAGCTGGGCCAGCCTTGTCAAATTGTATGTTCTCTTTTATGAAGGTCTTTCTCTTATCACCTTCTTTACCACAATCCAAGCACATTCCATAGAATAACAGTTACCATAATATAATCTCAATATTTGAAATATACAGGCTGGGATAATGTAGAAAGCTAATTTCAAATGTCATGCATTGCCTGATACTGTGACAGCTCTGTTCCTACTAATAAAACCCCCTTATTCCATTGCCACCATTGCCTTGGATAACTTTTACCTGCCATTGATTTCGAAATCACAACTGACTGTAGCCTGCCAATTGAGACTTCAGAACAAATTAAGACTTCAGACATATCCTATGGTATTTGACGATCATGAGTTTTCTTTGAACAACTTCTGACTGGTCCTTTTTTTTTCTCTCATTGTAGTTGCCGACATGCTGCATTTGCAAAATTCTTTGGTGATGAACTTCCATCTTGCTCAAATCAATGTGATGCCTGTTCATTGCCAAAAGATGTTGAGAAGCGACTACAGGAATTTGAGGAATCATTGTTGAGAAAGAGGAATTTTTTCTCAAATCCCCTGGCAATCACTGAGGAGGATGCAGATCTATATGGTGGAGGACGCAATGGTCAGAAGAGGTTAGTTCTCAAATGGCTTGGCATTCAATAATAATTAGTAGTTCCTGTAGCCTTCATGCAGAAAGTCTTTCCCATCAAAGCATACAAACAAGGACTGCTTTTGAAGTTCCTGAACTCCCAATTGCTAATGCTCATGACACTCTTGACACATAGCCTTCAAAGCTTTTGCTTGCTATCTCTCCCTTACAAATGAAATTCCATCACTGGGAACATAAAGAAATCACAAGAACTATATTGAGCAAGTAGGGTGGATGGGGAAGCAATTCAAACTCAATATCTGGAAGTACAGGGTGATTGAAAAGTCATGCTACCCAAAGTCTTTGTGACTATTGTACGTTTTGTGAACACCATGTACACCCCGACTTTGTTTTGTGAACAAATACCACTGAGCCTTCAAACTGAAGTTATGGGTGTTAAAAAAGTGTAACTTGATTCCAAAAGAATAAAATGTTTCTGTGCTGTTTCTTTTGGCCATGGCAAGATTTATTTTGGGTTGCACAACTTCTCAATCATCCTGTATATTGGAACAAATCTGAGATGCATGAGGAGAAGCATTCTCTTGATGGAGGATGACCTGTAGTCCAGAGCTCTGGCCACTAATTCCTTTAGTTTCCTTCTCAGAATTTTATTGATATGATTTGAATAATATTCTCCAGAGAAAGTTTTCCATTTTGCCATGGCATGGTCATATATAATGGTTTTTGTACTTCAAAAAGAAAGATGAGGTGCATGAATTTTTCAGCTGACCTTCAACCCTTTCATACTGGATGGTTTTGTTTGGAACCATCAACTTTCCTAATTTTAAAAATCCATTGCATGCATGCCTGCAAGCTATCGTCAGCATTGACTCATCAGACCAGGTCCTGTCTGCAAGATTAAGATGAAAACAGCTTCATTTTATCAGTACGAGTCTAGTAAACATCTCATAAGAGTGCATTATTATCCTCTGCATGAATTTGAGGTAAGTTCTTTTTTTCTAAAAATTCAGGCATGAAAGGATTAAGATTTTACCTGTTGGGGTTTCTTCCAAAGTGTTGACTACTCCTTGCTTCCAATTGTAATGATGATAGCATGATTCATTGCAAGTAATGACACATCCCAGGAAAGAGTAAAAGCTCTCCTACTCCAATCAAAATAGCTACTGCCCACAGGCAGGCAAGCTGTACTTAGGACACCACTTGCTAGATCCACTTGGCACAAACTTGTTCATATCCTGGATCAGAAACTATGGCATTAGCTTTTCATCATCCTGAATCCCATGTCCAGATTTATGGACCTTTAGATTTCCTCTTGCTGCCAATGAAATCAAAGAAACCACTCAAAATCATGTATCTCATGTGAAGTCAACTATCCATATTTTCTGAGTACCATAACATAGGGGGACTTGACACAGATTGGCAACTTAATACACAATTAACTTTGGGATGCCAACTTTTTTGTTTATGCAAGTATCAAATTAAAATAATTCCTATCAATCCACAGATAGTTTCACTGCTGTAAAAAATTAAAAATCTAAGTATAAATAACTTATTATAGAATCTATTATAAATTTTCAAAATTCCCAGTTTTTGCATTTTTTGGAAGGCAAAAACAGCTACAGACAGAATTTTTTAATTGCATGACACGTGAATATGAAATCACATGATGTTCAAAATTACATGCCCATAAATAAGGATATTTTTCCAGAAGCCTAATTCCAAAGCATAAATTATGAATATGATATTACGAATATGATGCCTCGTGTAGAGGATGACTTGATGCACCTACTGTGGTCTAAGGTGATCTTGATACTGCTACAAGAGTCTTGATTTTACACACACATAGGTATACATTCTATGACTCCAAGACTCTCCTGGCCCTGCAGCAAATCCATGAAGAAAATTTTGTCAATTTATCCCAAATTTTGCATTAAGGACGGTTTATTCTCTTTATGCAGAGATGAAGAACATAATTGGACAGGGGAGAGGAATTCACATAAGTCAGCAGAGCAAAAGCAGCTGGAAAAGGTGATAAAGAATCAATTCAAGTTGAGACAACATCAGAAGACAGAGGAGGGTGGACTGAAAGACAAAACAAGCATCAAGGATGACCAAACATATCGAGTGGGTGCAGCTTCAAGCTCCTCAGTGAAAATACCTGGACTTACAGCCAGCGTGAGTTCCACTTCACTGTATTTCTGTCTCCTTCCATGAATTTTGCTCCTGGTCCCTTCTCAAAGCTCATTTACTGCCAGCTTTACTCTTTCTCTGGCTACTGCCTTCTTCTGACAATGTCATTTGGGACTGAACCCCTTACAAGTACTATGGAATTTTCTCATTCTTGTATGAGTGAAGCCCTGTCACATCCTCTCAATTATAGCATACATGCGAGTGACATATCATATTGTAATATAAAAACAGCTACCAGTCATTTTGCCTATTCTTTGGAAGTGTTGATATGCATAGGCTATATGTGTACTGGCATTAAACTAGGCTTTTTATTTCACAGAGTCGGGAAGATTACCTGAATCTACTGGAAGAAACATTGAGACGAAATGCAAAAAGTTCATGTGACTCTGGCTCTCCACCCCTGGCAGATGTATATATCACAGAGAATGCCATCAAGGCTGAATATGGCATTTTCACTCAAAATAAAGTGATAACGATGTACAGAAGAGCAATGGTTTTCTTGGTAAGTCCCTTTTACTGAAGGTATAGGATCAAAGTGGAGAGTGAACTTGCTCTCTTTTTCATAAGTGATGCTTTTATTCCTCAACAGATGAATGAGATCAAGAAAGCAACACAAGCAGGAAACAGGCATCTGTGTTTGACAGGATGTGAGGAGACATCCTCAATGACTGAAGAAGTGGCTGCAAAACCCCTTGTAGAATCATCTTCATCTCTCTCTGATTCTTCTGGAAATGAACACGTTTCATGTTTTCAGAAAAGAACTTCTCTGTTCCTGGCTGATCGTGATGAGTTGCTTTGGAAATTCCAACCACCACAAGAGCATATTGATGGGACCCGAAGCATGTCCCCCATTGAGTGTGAAAGATGTTCCACTTCTCCTATTCACAGTCCAGTGACAAAGGAAGAGCTTCATTCACCTTTTAGTCAGCAAGAAATGTCATGTGCCTTGACAAATGTTAGCAGTGAGACATTCATCCCTTCACACTTGATATCAGCCAATCACCTGAGAACAGGGGATTGTGGATTTGTGAAGGAAAACTCCAATTCCTTGAAGCGCAAACGAGTTTCTGATACTTATATCAGGAAAAAGGCTTGTGCGACAGTCACTTCACTTGGTCTCTCCAGTACTCCAGAATCTGCTTCTGGAGAGACTCCTAAAAGAGACCTTTCAGAGCCAGGTCTGAAGAAGACTCAGGTTGCAGATTGGATGGTGTCACATTTAATGCCATATTTCAAGGCTGGTAGGATTTCTGACAAGCAACTTTTCAAGGGATTGGCAAGGTCACTTTCTCATAAATTCCTCAGCTCTGCTTTCTCCAAAGGTGAGCTCTCAGAATTTGTAGTTTGCACTTGGATCAATATGATCACTGGAAGAGAAAAGCTTAAATTGTCTTTTTTTTAATGTGACACTATGAAGTGAAGAACAGTTTCTGAGAAACTAGCATCATTTGCACAAACCAGCCAAAAATAGGACAGTTTTGAATTATTTTATGCAATTTCAGAGGTATTCAATACAATATGATTTTCAGAAGGGTTGATGATGATTCAGTTTGAGGAATAATTATGAGTTTTACTATAGAGTTTATTCGAAGAACTCCACATTTATTCTTTGGCAGATACAACTGGTGCTGAGGAGATGGTGAAGACATTCTTTGAAGTCTGCCCTGCTGTGAAGTGTGAGGATGACTATACCCTCCTCAGCTGAGGAATGAGTGGATCTGATTGTGCCTGAAGTTATGGATGAACGAACAAAAGTAAATACATTAAAAATATGGATCTTTTCAGGATTTACTGGATTTTTGTCACACCCTATGATTTACACTTGAACTGTCATTAAAAGTTCCACCTTGGAGTGTTTCTATGGCAACCATGAGTATCCATAGGAATTCATGCAAGCTAAGAATATTCTGAATTTAAAGAACATCTACTAGAGCTGAAATGTGCCTTCCCAGATTTTTTGCTGACCCCACCTCTTTCACTTGTCCTAGATTCAAGATTTAAGATTAGATTAGGGATGTCAGGAGGCATATCTGCCTATTAGAGCATCCCGTGTCGAGGTCGAGCATTCAATGTAAAAATAAAAATATGCTAGGCCTTAACGATACATATTCTTGTGGGAGCACTACCTCCTGTCTAGTTAGATAATGCTGCTTTGCCACATTTTTTGTTGTCTATGAAGGCATCTAGCCTCTTCTTAAAGCTGGCCACGGAAGGAGCATCTACTACAGGGTACATGATCTTTTAACTCATTCCACACACCCTGCAAATGAGAAAGTTATTCCGCGACCTGAGCCTCACTTGAGGCTTTTGTTATTTGAACTGATTCCCCTCGTTCGGCTGTTACCACCCAATTAGAAAACCTATCGCGCGCCACGTCATTGATACCCTTAATGATCTTAAATGCCTGGATGAGGCCCCCACGTTAACCTTCACTCGAGCGAATAGAGCCCCAGCTCGTCTAAACGTTTCTCATCCGAGAGTCTATGAACCTCCTTGATCATTTTAGTAACCCGACTTTGAATCTTCTCTAGCGCCACCAAGTCACTTTTATTCACAGGCCTTCAGAATTGAACGCAATGCTCTAAAAAAAAATGCCGAATATAACAGAGGAATAATGCGGGAACTCTTAGAGGCAATGGAATGCCGGACGAAACCTAGGATTCTGCTAAACTTTACTTCGGTCGCCTGCACGTGAGAGAAGAACTTAAGTTGCTCGTCGATCGTAATCCGTAAATCTCTCCGCGTTTGCCTCTCCAATTTATCTTTGCTGAACGCTTTCAGAGACCTATCATTATTTCGACCGACGTGAAGAATCTTAAAATCTACCCTAGTTAAACTTTCATTAACCATTTTTTACTCCCTCATCGAGGAGTTCTAAATCTCTCCCGGCTCTCGCCCTGCCCTCATCCCCATTGACGGTGAAGCTTATTTTCGTTTCGTCCGCAAATTTTCCAACTTCACTTGCAAGGCCTTCATCGAGATCGTTTACATAAACCAGAAATTGGAGCAGTCCCAAGACCGAACCCCAGAGTACTTTGCTTGCGACTCCAGCTTCCGGCGACACTTCCCCGTTTGCAATCATCCTATGCACTCTTCCCGAAAGTCATCCGAAAAGTCCGAAAGTACCCATTCTACCTGGATCCCGTGCACTTCCAATTTTGTGCGTAGTCTTTTATGTGAAACAGTTTCGAAAGCCTTCGCGACATCTAAGAAGATAATATCGACAAAAGGGATAAAGGGGATCACCCTTTATCCCTTTTGCCCGTCTCTCAATTGTAAAACTCGAGCGAGTTGATTAGACAATTTCGTAGCCTCCTGAGACTGCTGGGAATCTCGGAGTAGACAGTTTCCCTCGAGAAATTCGAAGATGCGATCCCTTGTCATGCCCTCCAAGATCTTCCTGAAATGCTGGTAAGACTAACAGGCCTGTAGTTTCCTGGATCGCTCTTGTCCTTTATCGGTGCGACGTTCGCTTCTCTCCAATCTCTAGGCACTTCGCGCAAAATGCTACTTTCAATGATGATTCTTAACGGTAACGCAGCTTCCCTCGATAATTCCTTGATAATTTGCGCCGAAATACCATCAGGGCTGATTGCCTTCCCTGCCTTTAACCCTTTATAGGTTACTGGTAAATATACTTACTACTGAGCAACTAATGTGTTTATTTCCCAGTAATGGTCTCTGGTAAGTATACTTACCGCCTCATATTTGCACAACAGCTGTTTGAAATTGCCCATTTATCATGTCTACATGATGATTACACTAAACCCCAAGCAGCATGTTTATGTTAATTTTACGTAAAATGAATGTAAATTTTTCGCCCATTTTACGGAGTATATCATTTTTACGCAAACCATTGTCAATAAAATGTCAACATGTTTGCAGAAATGTCACCTCTGTGATACGTAAACGGTGATATAAAATTAACGTAAATTTTACGTAAAACTGACATTCCCATTTGCATTCCAAACAGCATGTTTACATTCATTTTACATAAGATTTATGTTAATTTTCCCCTGGAATTCATGCGTATTTAAAGAGTCATTCGGTACCATTGAAGAGAATTGATATACGAGGGTCACTCAATAAGTTATCTACCTGAATAAGAAAGAAACATCCGAGGGGAAAAATAACACTTTATTTTTCAATGTAGTCACCTTTTAACTCAACACACTTATTCCACTTTGATTCCAAGGATTTTATTCCCTGGGAATAGAAGTCAACTTCTTGTCCATCAAACCAGTCAGAAACGGCAACTTTCAGCTCTTCATTGCATGAAAATCTTTTTCTCCGCAAAAATTTTTTCAAGTGTCTGAACAGAAAATAGTCACTAGGAGCCNGCAACTACAGGATGGTCAGCTAAAGTTTCATATGGATGGTGTGGTGTTAATTTTTCATAAACTTGATATCATGTACTTCACGTCAGATGGAGTAACGTCTAGTTACTGTAAAATACATGTACACTTTGGTGACGTAAATATAGGAACGTAAATTTTACGTAGACGTGATGTCATTTTCATGGCAATCGCAAGAAATTTACATTGTTTGCAAAAAATTGATATCTTGTTTACGTGAACATGCTGCTTGGGACCATGTGAGTTTGGCATGGTAAGATATTTTATTTTGATGCCCGAGTTTTGCCCTATAAAGGCCCAAGGAACATGTTTATGTAAATATTATAACAAATTAATTTAAATTTTTTTGTCCATTTTAAATCAATTTACGCAAACCTTCATCAAGATATTGTCAACATGTTTGCAGAAATGTCACCTCTGTGATACGCGAACGGTGATATAAAATTGACGAGAATTTTACATGAAATTGACGAGAATTTTACATAAAATTGACATTCCTGTTTACATCCCAATTACTGTACTATGTTTATATTAATATTATGTAAAATTGATGTTAATTTTTGTTCAGCATTCATGTGAATTTTCATGTAAATCATCAGCTTTGGAGATAATCAATGCTGCCATGCATTTCCGATTCTCCTCCACACCTTGGAGCTCTAGTGTACTCGGAAGAGTACACAAAAATTTTTGTCCAAGAATACTAAGTTATCCCTCTTCCGCCCCCAACTCGGAACTCTAGGAGTATGAGTAGGACTTTAATAGGTCCTATCTTGCATAGAAGATGTGAGAGGTGTGATATGAGAGGAGTTTCGCGTTCTATTAATACTTTTCCCTATTCCTGTATACTCCTATATTACAATACTTAAGGGCCGTTCACAAATTACGTAGCGTGATTTTTAAACTTTTTTGACCCCCCCCCTCCCCCCCTGTAACACTCCGAAACAAAAGCTTCGACCCCCCCCCCACCCCCCCAAAAAAAAAATACGTGACAAAATATGACTCTCCCCCGCCTTCATATTTTTTTATTATAATAAGATAAATAAACAAGTAAAATGCATTTGAAAAAGGAACTCGTTAATAAACACTCTTAACTAACATTCTGGATTACACACATTCAGAGATGATTAAAATCTTTTTAAAAAAGGAAAGGAAAAGTTTTTATTTCATTTGGTTCCTTGCGCCCACTCCAATTTTAGTAAGGGTGGTGGATGCGGGTGGGTAGTAGTGTTGGCTCTTTGTGTCGTGTGAGTGATTTGTTACTAAACAATTACCCTTCTTATAAGAAATTCCAGTCGCATAATTTATTTATTTATTATGAAAAAAAACCTGTTACGTCACATTCGTGCCACCTCCCCCCGTCCCCCGTAACAAATCGTAACATTTTACCTGATCCCCCCCTCCCCCCCTTGTACTACGTAATTTGTGAACAACCCCTAACTTCGGCATTTAATCATTTCCTGTGTCTTATATTTTGTAATAAAAATATCATAATTTCATGTTTTCCTGATATATGTTTATAAATTGCACAATATGAAGAGGAAGGATTGAAGGAAAACCTTGCAATATATCAGGAAAGCAGATACTTGATTGCATTTGTCGGGTGCAGGAAACATGGGTTCCTTCTAGTAAGGACTCCTTGGTATGCAACTGCGGGAGTCAGCTAAAGTTTCATATAGATGGTGTGGTGTTGATTTTGCATAAACTTTATATCATGTTCTTTACATCAGGTGAATTGATGTCTAGTTTATATGCATTACACATCCACTCTGATGATGTAAATAGACGAATGTAGATTTTATATTAACGTGATTTCATTTCTATGACAATCGCAAGAAATTGACATTGTTTGCAAAAAATAGATATTTTGTTTACATAAACATGCTGCTTGGGGGTTAATTTCCCAATCCTCTTGATCTCTTCCCCGGTGATGACGACGTCCTCGATGCACGCGTCAGCGACCATCATCGCTGGTGCATCGTCGGATTCCTTCGAAAAAAACATGCAAATAAATCATTAAGCTCCCCCGCCATACTGCCACTATTCGAGACTATCTCCTCAGTGTCGTCCTTAGGAGGTCCGATCGTATGCCAATATTTGCCGCTTACGTATTGAGGAAAAGCTTTGGGTTTATTCTTTGCATTAATCACCAGTCTCACCTCTCGCTCCCGTTTCGTCGAACTAATTTATCTCTTCTAAGACCTCGTAGCAACCCTCTATTCCTGGTTCTCCTGCTTCCCCGTGCGCCAATACGAGTCCCATGTCTGTTTCTTACGTCTGATCAATGATTTAACTTTACTCGTAAACCAGACCGACTGTCTCAGCAATCTTCGTTTTCTTAGGAATGCAAAGCTTCATAGAGTTTAGTTCAACCGTGTTAAATGCCTCCTACTACACCTCTAGCGCTAACCCTCGTAACCTTCCTTCCCAAACGAGACGCGAAATGCGTTCCCGTAGCTGAACGAAATGCTCTTTTCTGTGGTCGTACGTTTCCTTCGTCAGTGGATATCGTTCAATTTACGATAGTTTACGCATAATCTCCAGGACCCGTCTTTTTTCCGCACTAGGATGGCAGGTGAGTTCCACAGGCTCAATGACGGTCTAATAATGTCCTGCTTTAGCATTTTGTTCACCTGTTGCTCTATGATCTTTTTCTGATCGAAGGATACTCGACGGGGAGCTTGTTGAATGGGCTGTGCTGCGCTGGTATTAAGGGTAAGCTCTACCCTTAATTTCCAACCTGAAAATTAAAAAGCGTTCTCGCAAAAGTACCTTCTCTCGCCCCTATAAACAATATATCAATGAATTACGGACTTGGAGCTCCTTCCATTGAGTGTATTACCTCATCATCATACCTTACATCATCAAGTACTAGTCAGTATTTAATATCTATATCTCAAGAACTGAAAGATCGATTGCAAAACCACGAGATCAACCCAAAGAGACAATACACCAAGTGGCTCTTCTTAATTTGGGCTCGTTTTCATGCAAATCGAGCAAAACTTTTGCGCCATAGAGTCCCATTATAACGGTCCAGTTACATTCTCGAAAACCAGGTGGCGAAGGTGTCCCAAGCAATTGGGGAATAGACGTTGTAAGTGAGACCCGACCCCTCTTGTTTCCTATTAGTGGGTCACCCTAGATGGTTCTGGCGAGAGCCTTCATGGATGTGAAAAGCAGTGGGTCCGCATTCCCCCTCGAGGAATCCACGTCTTGAGAGGGTAGGAAAGGAAGGAGAGACACGAAGAAACCAGACAGTGAAGGCCTTTTCCTTCCAAGGCGTGAAAATGACGACTTCATTCGAAAATGACTTCTGTATTCAATAACCTGTGTGCAAACGGCGGGGTATGCCCCGCGGCATAAATCGAGTGGGGGGGGGGGGGGGTAAACTCTCTGGTGTGTAGGGAGAACGGCCTGTTATTACGATCTCAGAGTATGTTATCTGCACTGTGATGCGGCTTTTTTCATGTTATTATTATTTATTGTTATTATACATGTTATTATAAGTCATCTTTCAAATCTCATTTGTGCGCATCGAGGAGCACAACTCAAGTAGGAGAACGGTGCAAGAGAATAGGAGTGATATGAGCCAAATGAGCTAAATATTTTTGTTTTAATTCGGACGACGACATAATATTTTGAAACGGTATGACCACACCGATGTCTCGAGGCGATCGAATGCAGAACTTGGAAAGTAAAGGGAGGTGTAAAAAAAGGGGTAAGTTCGTTCCCCTCGATCAGATAAGGGACCCATTGGAGGTACTGTATATGGGTTTTTAAGAAATGCTTTCCCTTGGAGTGAGCCCTGAGGAGAAAGAGGGGCGGGGAGACGCTATGCTACATCTATAAAACAACTTCGCCCTAGCTCAATTTTCAAGAAGGGTAGAACCAGTGGCGTAGCGAGGGGGGGCTGGGGGGGGGGCTGAAGCCCCCCCCAAGTTTGGTTCAAGTCCCCCCAACTCTGGTCGAAATGCGTCCGCCCCACCCCGACGAGGAGAAGTTAGCCCCCCCAACGTTCCGCTTAGCCCCCCATTAACCCCCCCAACTTTTCGCTTAGCCCCCCCATTGACGAAAACCTGGCTACGCCACTGGGTAGAACCCCCTCCCCCTAACCCCTTAACCCTTTCAGACCTGACTTAAGACTGCTATCGGAATAACATCCTTTTTTTCATTTTTGAGCTGTTTCGTGATTGTAATTGAAATTTTCATGCTTTATGTGTGGTTTTTATATTTTGCATAAATTTACCATATCATATTATATATTACACATTTAATTAAATAACAGAAGATGATAAAACTAATGAGTGAAAGAAGGCTTTTGTTGGAACTGAGCCATGCATAATTGTGCCCATTGTTGCGTAATATAGAGCTCAAAGTCACGAGAATCCTAAGAAATTGCCATAGAAATTGTAAAAGCAATGTCCATTGGAATGGATGCCAAGTCTGAAAGGGTTAAGTGGGGGATTTCTTGGACAGAAGCCTACTACCGGAGTCAGAAATTCTTTTCGTGAGAATAACAAGTGGTGTTTGTGTAATAAATTTGCTACTCTTTCTCTAGTTTATACTCCTATTTCGAGTTTCGAATTCATATTTAACCCAAACTCGAATATAACGAGACGAAAAAAAAGGCCTAAGGACCATTTCACTATGACGGATATATACATCATTCCCACTGAAGGGTTTAATGAAGAGATATAGGTTTTTGACGTGATCCTGAACCAAATTGCCAGATGGACTATCAGAGATCGACTTAAGCCTCTTGAATGGTTCAATGGTTCAAGACGAATTCCGAAGGTTTCGTCTTTCAAAAGACACTGTCGCGGACTTGGTGCGGACAATAGAGCAGGATCTGGCACAATACTCAATATTTTCTTTCTAAGTGCAACCACACCGCCTTTAAATGTGTTTAAATCGTGGATAAACATGTTCATGGAAACTAATCTGATTTTCGGTGGTGCATGTCAAAGATAAACACATCCTTAAGCATGTTTTAGAAAACGTGTTCATCTCATCTTTAATCTGATTCCTCAATAGGTGCATGTCACCCGTAGGGTGACATGCACCTATTGAGGAGGACAATAGGTGCATGTCACCCGTAGGGTGACATGCACCTATTGTCAGTCAATTTTGTCCGGCCCGCTAAGTCCTCTTCAACAAGAATAGTTTAAGGAAATGTACAGCAAATTTCAGCCTTTTTGCATTAAAGATTAGGTTTAGATTTTTATTTTGACCCTAATCACCCCTGGAAGCTTCCATCCGGCCCCCAGCCTAATCGAGTGTGAAATCCCTGCCATAGGATAAACACCCGTTTTTGGTCGCTTAAGCCAATCGCAGAGCTTGCAATGACTCCTCTGAACATGAGGCAAACCGTAGCGACGTTTCTTTCTGCTTCATTAATAGTGAAATGAGATGCAAATACTTTGGTGACATTTATTTTCCTTTATTCCTGAAGTAAATGAAGAATACGAACAAAATTAAATAATGTGACAAAAAAAAACATTTATTGGCAACTTTACTCCAGCGTTTGGCCAGTTCGGATCCATTTATTGGCCACAAGTATTTTTTTTAAAATGAAATATGAATCCTCTTAAGAAAAAGAAAAGGAAAACGAAGCGCAATTGAGGAATTCTGCCTCCTTCATACTTTCATCGAAGGGTAGACCCACGCCATCTTCATCGAAATTCCACTTCTTCCACTTTCCACCTTGCGCTTTCTCTACTTCTCATGACTCTTGATCGTCCTTTTCTTGTTTTCTCTCAGTTTTTCGGCTCTTTTCCTCTCTGACCTTATTCCTCTCTTCATTTTCTTGTCCAATCGTTTAGTCTTTCTCTCCCGAAACATGTCCTTCCATTTTCCACTGGACATCGTCCATGGAAACCTTTCCGTCTTCCCGACGCCTTTCCTTTTGGGAGTTCCATGCCAGATTAAGCAATCCTGCAGCTGCGCAGGCTTGTCTAGCGCGTCCTCGTCGACTACCTCTGATACTTCTATTGCGGCGTACAGAGGGGATGCAGGCGTTTCACTTAGCTACCGAGGGAGAGGAATGGGAGGATGCCTCCTACATGTGCCTGCCAAATGATAATACAAGTTCCTCACCGCCTTCCAAACCTCATCCATGGACTCTGGACGTGTTCCTAGTTCAAGAGTTGATGTTAGTTGTTCCCCAATGATCTCCCGGAAATTTTTCAAGGTCAGAATGGTATGGAGTTGGGTGCGTCCTGGACAGCAAGGCACCTCGTGTAATCCACATTCTCTGGGCTCCATGGGAATATTCCTCATGTGCGGAAGCTGCTCTGTATGCAAGATGTAGTTATACCTCCCATAGGTATCTTGATCACCCCAGCGAAGTCTTTCTTTGTGACGACCCGGTTGGGATGGTCTATATGTCACTGACCAAGGGCTGCCTTCTAGTTGGACTTCAAGGGTCGGAAACATCGGCGATTTGCAATATTCGGGTGACATTGGGGTAGAGAGCCTCCAAAATTACCTTCAGCTTTACACAGAGCTTTCTAGACTGGATGGTAAGGTGTGTGGAATGGCCATCCGCAAAGAGGATCACGGGAAGTCCATCTTATATGCGACAAGGTAGGGATGGAATACAGACGAGATATACTCATATATTTCCGACTTCATCCAGCCGGTTCTTGAATGAACGATCCCCTAACCATCTGGCATAGACTCGGCAATGTCGCGAGGGAGACGAACATATGGATGCATGATCGGGGGGGGGGGGGGCAATATTCCCTGCCACAGAGAATTTGCAGAGAACATTAAGGTTTTCCTTCTTATTCTCCATGGAAACAACATTGCCATTACGTGCTCCCCTTGGAGCCAAGACCTTACGGCTCTTAGGGCAAAGCTGAAAAGCCGACTCGTCTGAGTTCCAGATACGATGGGGATCAGCGGTGTAGGGTCAGAGGAGCAAGGGGGAATACTTTGCCCCCCCCCCCCAAACTTTTCAAGAAAAAAAGTAAAAAAAAAGAAGGAAAAGACCCAAACAAGTATGATGACAGTATCCAGCGCCATACCGAGGATATTTGATGCCCTGTGCGAGATATCAACTCATCATCTCCCCCTCCCCCTCTATACCTCTTCAGCTTCCCCAGCACCAACAATACATTACGTATTAATTCATATGATTAGATGTGTTTAATTCAGGATAATTTGCAAGTTTTTTAAAGTTCTATTCATATTTTGTTGTGTACTTTCTTCATTCCGACTTTCGTTTACATTTCCTTATTAATCATATTTTGAGAATATTCTGAAAGCGATGACCTTGTTTTTGTGTTTCCTTTTTCCAAAAGTAGGTCATTTTTGTTGAAGAGTGAACAGTGCGAAAACGACAACCTTCTACAAGCCATAATTTCATTTTATCTCGACAAAGCATCATTTTCACTTGTTTCACGAGGCTACGCACTATACAGTCAAATTTTAAGAGAAGAAAGAGGTATCCAGGGGGAGATTTGGGAGGGTCGATTCAAATTCGATTAATATTTATAATCGCGATTGCAGATTTAATCGATTGCAGTACTTGGTTGATGAAACTAATCAATTGACAGCCCTAGAATAAAGTGATCTCTTAACTTTTCAAAAATGTTAGATTTCTATTTCTAATAAGATGCACACAACGGTCAGAAGAACATCGACTCACCGACGTAGTTCACATGAGCAGGCGTAGAAAAATGAGGAAATTTGTATGAAACTTTAAGACAAATACATTTTATTCCCTACGTGAAGAAAACGTATGTGACCTCTGACTTCAACTTACTGACTAATTCTTATCAGTCTTCTGGAGCATACAATCATCTTGAACTTATGTTTGATCATATATCTTTTACGAAACATTATATTATGGGAAAAAAGCATTTGAACATGAATTCGAGAATTTTTAATCGTTTTTTTTTATAATTCGGCAATCAGCGCCCTGTGCAGGAGCACTGCTCGCACACCCCTTGTTACGACACTGACTGTATTCCTGACTTCCCGTGGCCCCCCTCCACTTTTTTCATCCACTCCCCTAGATGCAGTACCAAGAGTCCCACTAGATGTTACCCCCGTTTCCTTCACCCTACAATTGCAATGAAGTACCTGCCTTCCTGATTTAACAAAAGTGTTTCTTCCTCGTTTTTCTTCTTTTTAATGTGAAATTTATAAACAGATAGGAAAGCGTGGAATTATGATGTTTTGATTGCAATATAAGATTCAGGGAATTATTAAATGCTGAAGTTAAGTATGGGAATTCAGAAGTGTACAGGACTAGGGGAGGGTAGAGAGTCTAAACTCTACCATCCTAAATTATGCATACGATATGTCTTGATACTCGTAGACTTCTGCTCACCCTTCCAGGTGTCTTGGACACGGAAGATGAGAGCAGTGGGTCATCTTGGTACTATTCTGAGGAGACTCTAGAGCCAAGATTTATCGGGTAATCGGATATAAATGAAGGCATATGGACCCTTCGCAGCTGGTGGTACACTACAAACGAGCTAACTGGTAATGTGCTGGCCCTTTAGTGGCCCGGAAGGTGGCGGGCCCGTGGTGGCAAGTGGGACATGTACCTGGTGGCTCACAACCCGGTGAAGTTGGTGGGCCACCAGCTCTCTTCCCCAAATGTAAGTAGTGGGCCACCACCTACGAACTACTTGGGTATGTTAATTTTGATTGATGGTGATCACCCATTTGAGATTTAAAAAAAGAGTAAAAGGAGACAGGGAAATATAGAGTAGAATGGTGGAAATAGAAATCGCGATGCCGAGAGAGAGACGAACGAGGGCAATGTCCAAAGGGTAACTGAGCCTCTTTTGCCTGTCTGAGCAGGTCCAGGCATGACAGCTGCGACATTGCGAGTTTTGCAGCAGGGGAGAGGGAAGTCAGTAGACGTTCCCACGCTCCCAATGCCCACTCCACTGTTGGTAGTGGTGGGTGCGGGTGGGTAGTAGTGTTGGCTCTTTGTGTCGTGTGAGTGATTTGTTACTAAACAATTACCCTTCTAATAAGAAATTCCAGTCGCATAATTTAATTTTTTTTTATGAAAAAAACTTGTTACTCACAGAAACACTTTGTTTAATCCCCTCCTTCCCCCCTTACGTTACGTAATTTGTGAACGGCCCCTTTCCTGTTTTTGCAAGATGGTATCCAGGAATTGTTCTAAATATCTATAGATAGACCTTGTTATGAAATTCCAAATTCAAAATGGCCGCCTCCAACACCAGCACAGGGTGCTCCCGCCACGGGTGGAGGCCATGGTCTCCGCGCCGCATTCGAGGCCTATGTGATCTATCATTTAATTTAATATATTTTAATTTTAGGACGACGGTAGACTACAGAGTTTAACTTAGACCCAGCACAAGAAGTGGTCCCGTGCCATTCTGTCATCCGTAGAATTAGGCATGTAGTTCAGATCTATCTTTGAGCATTTGCACAAAAAAGCTGTGCAGGCTTTGTAGAGAGATTTATGAAAAGTCTTGTCAAGATATTAGGGCTATTTTAGTTGAGGCACACACCATTCCAATAGGCTCTGATTCCTAAGCACCACAACATGCACTCATCTCTATTTATGCTGGCATATATTTCACATTTCCCTTTGCTATGTACATTGTCATCTTCCAGATGTATGAGTGCGAGGAGCAGTGTAGTGTTCATTTCGGCATTGGTATTGTCTAGAGGACTTGCATACTGCAGTCCCCTCCATCCATCCTTGCATCATAGTCCCCAGTGGAGCCTCACTTTCATGTGTATCTGTAGAAGGGTAGAGCCCTGTGAGCTCCCATGGGATGGAGCAGTACTTTTGGGGTGGGATTATTTCCTTTGATTCTGAGTTTTGACTGCTAAAAAGATAAATCTATGATCATGACTCCCTACCTTTGATTAGAGAGAGATGATGGAACCTGGAAGGCATGGAAGAATTTGAGCACTAATTTAGGCTGGATTGGAATTGGAAGACATATAAAGACTGGATGGAACAGGAGGGTTGGGGGTGGTGACATAATATACATGCCTAACCTACTTAAGAAATTTTAAAGTGTTCCTGAAGTTGATTGTAGTTGATTGTTGATTGATAGGAGGTGATGGGAATCTAGCCTTCACTGGTGTTCACTGGTGAAGAGTGTTAGGTTCCCCATCTCCTTGTGGTTGTCATTCAGGTTGTTCATGTCCGTGTTAGCTTTGTCTCGATCAGCTTTGTGATGACCACCAGTGTAAGTGGTTATTGCTTTACATTTCTAGTAAGGTTTATGTTTTTGCCTTTTCAGGTCATAGTTGAGTTCTCATAAGCCTTTGCTATGTTATGTTTCAATTAATCTTGGTAGGCCTGAGGCTTTTCATTGGAGTTGACAGTTTCAGATGACACTGACACATGAATGACTCTTGCAATACTTGATTACTGCAGTCAACTGAACTCAACAGGAAAAACTTGCAGAACTTGCTTTTCAGTGGTTTATAGCCAATAGGCATACATGTTTTGATGTAATTTATGCCTTTGGATTACTGGAAGGCTGGCCCTGTCATGCATAGTCTACTGGTGAGGCACATTTTTAGGCCTAAACATCCTTGCCCTCCTAGCCTGAATCCAATCCAGATTCTAGCAATCAGTTTTCACAAGATATTAAATTATTCTGAGACTAGATTAATTTACATTGCTTATTTTTAAGTCATTACTTTGAGAGGCTGGTCATATATGGATCTTGTTTTTTTGAGTTGTGTTAGTAAGAGTAGCCAAGCAAAGGCCAGACTATTCTTGATCCCAGTAGGCAGAGGTGTGATGGAATCAGCAGAAGGGAGTTGTGGAAATGCAATGGATAAAGGTGAATTAGAACCAATAATAGAGCCAGGATCAATACATTCTGTGTTGGAAAGTGAGAAACCTATGACTCAAGAGGGTTGGGATGCCTCCCAATGTAAGTTCATCAATGGGAGATACACATATCAAGATACTGATGGCAAGAACTATTATTGGGATTCTGAATCCAACCAATGGATTGTGTTTGCTGGTCCTGGTGATTCAGAAGCAAGAGCAGAAGGTAATCAAGCCACGACTCTGTCTGGTACTGCTGAGAGTCGTACTGATAAAAGACACTATGAGGTGGTAGACAATCAGTACTACTACACAGATCCTGACAGTGGTCTTCGATACATGTGGGACACCGTGAAGAACTTGTGGGAAGAAGTAGCCAGAGAAGCAAACCGAAGTGGGACAACTGACAATTCATCTGGAAAGGACTGCTCCGAATCTTGTTTGGAACCCCATTCCAAACTTCAACCCTCAGCTGCACCCCCTGGGCATACTGGAGACCGACAGGCAGACTATTTTTATGAAGGAAACAGTGTTTTGTACAGGGATCCTTCAGATGGGACTGTTTATGAATGGGATACAAATAAGCGTGCATGGTTTCCTCGTATCACTGAAGACTTTTTGGCCCTTTACCATCTCAACTATGGCACACAAAATCAACCTGATGGTACTTTTGGCCATGATTCAGATGGCCAGAAAACCTCTCCAGAGGCAAAATCTGCCACTGTGAATCAACTGGCATCCAATCAAAAGATAGGGGATGAGAAAGAAGTAGCTGAAAATGAAGTGAGTCTCAGGGAGAGAAAGAAGAGGCCAGTTCCAAATCCTCCAGAGTGGTTTGAGATGGATGATCAGCGCAATACTCATGTGTATATCTCAGGTTTGTAAAATGTTCTAATCATTGGAAATTTCTTCTTTCTCTTAGTAGGGTAAAATGTCCAATGATGGGCCATGGTGCAGGAAAATTCCAAAAACTAGGCATTTATAGCATGAACACCTCTGAAGTGTGTATGTGCTTGCATGCTGCTAGCTTATATCATAACAGGGCTTGGTGTGCTATGGAAGCTTAGCTGTTTTGACTTTTTATGTGCTGTGGCCCATCAATGGGTATTTAACCCTAACAAAATACTGATGAGGCATCACTTGAGGCCTAGACATAATGCTCTCCAACCTCTGCTTGGCAAAAAAAAAGCCTAATCTTTGACCTTGATGGTATTTCCAGGCCTTCCATTGGACATCACTGAGGAAGAGTTTCTGGAGACGATGCAGAAGTGTGGCCTTGTTATGAAAGATCCTGACAAAGGAAAGATGAAGGTAAGAAGATTGAGCTGTAGTGAATGCATTTCATTGTTGAGAATATTGGGGTCAACATGGGAATCTGTTTCCTAATTCTCTTATGCCTCTCCTAGGTGAAGCTGTACAAAGATGCAAATGGGCAATTAAAAGGTGATGCACTGTGCTGCTATATCAAAATTGAGTCTGTGGATCTGGCACTTCAGATTCTTGATGGATATGATCTGAGAGGGCATACACTTCATGTTGAGAGGGCCAGATTCCAGCTCAAGGGACAGTTTGATCCTTCACTGAAACCTCGAAAAAAGAAAAAGAAGGATAAGGAGAAACTCAGGAAACAACAGGAGAAGTTGTTTGCTTGGAAACCAGAGAAATTGCGAGGAATGAGAGATCGTAATGAGAAGGTAGTGGTCATCAAGAACCTCTTTGATCCTGAAGACTTTGTGGTAGACCCAAAGAAGATCCTAGAGTATCAGAATGATCTTAGGCAAGAGTGTTCTAAGATTGGACAAGTGAGAAAAGTGATTGTGCATGATAGACACCCAGATGGAGTGGCTCAGATATTCTTCAAAGATGTTGAGGAGGCTGACATGTGTATTAAGTTGATGAATCACAGGTTCTTCTGTGCCAGACGTCTTTTGGCTGAGACTTGGGATGGGAAAACCAAGTTCAAATTGGATGAAAGTACACAGGAAGAACAAGAGAGGTTGAAAGGCTGGGAGGATTTCTTAGTGGAAGAAAATTAATTACTTGCTGTCTTTATCTTTGTGCCAGCAATGTTTTGCATTGAGAAGGTTCTCCTGTGTATTCTGGTTATGTAATGCTGAGTTCTCTTCAGTCATAATGCAGTTCCTTTGCTGGGAAATCATTCTGTGAATCACTTCCCAATCCCCAAGCCATGATTGGCATTTTTCCCAGTCCATTCATCAGACCAAACAATTTCCAAATGCAATTTATATATTCACAATGCATTATCTGTTGAAGAGCTGTGATTTTTTGAGTAAAAAAAAAAGATGAGCTTGTAACTGCTTTTTATCAATATTAAAAAAAAAGGTATTGCAAGAATATCACAGTTGTCCTTAGACCCATATACTGAACCCTCCTTTATTTAATGGGCCTTTAGGAATCCATGGGCTCTTATGGAAAAAAAAGAAGTTCTTTAGCCTAAAGGCACTTTTATCTCCTCTAAATAAGGTTTATGCATTCAGGCCTTGACTTCCTATTGTCCATGCCAATGTGTCTTGAGTTGGGTCTTGGGGTTGCATGGGCAAAACATGCTGCTGCATTTGGAGCAGACGCTTCAGGCTGCTGGAGGATATTCAACAGGCAAAGAATAATTTAAATTGTTTGTGTCTGTTTGTGACAGGTCACGTGGACGACCAAAGTTGACCGTCAAAAAAAGTTGGGAAGAGGACCAAAAGTGGAAGAAATTATTCACAGAGTTCAGAAATTGACAATTCATGAGCTCCGAGAACTTGAATTTTTCTCATGTAGACATTCGTGGAAGTGCATCGAGGTCCACTCCTGTGTGGATGTCGATGATTGCTCATCCTTGGGTCACCATGTTAAATGTCCTCTTTTCTCTGAATCTTTTGTATCTGTGGAATACCTTCATGGTTCCTGAGGTGTGGTACATTTGCCTTCTTCCACACATTATTTGATGGCCCTTCAATTTTTTTTAGTACTAAAAGAAATTCCTCACATATATTCTCTGACTAGTTCAATGTCCTTTGGAACAGAATTCTTTAAAAATCCAAATGAAAACCATTGAGAAATAAATTTTGCCCATGTCCTCCCAAGACCCAACCCAAGATACATACAAGAAGTGAAACCTGTCCATCAAAGTGTAACAGAGTTACAGAACCAGTCCGGGAACTTATTGATCACACCACATATAGCATTTCTGAAAATCAGGACTTCATAATTTATTTATGCTATAGTTAAGGACTAGTTTCAGAAGGTTTTTATATACAAACAAGTCCTAAAATAGGTATAGAAATTATTTTTAAAATATGCATTTTGAACCCAATTTTTATCCCCTTTTTAGTGGGAAATAGAGTATACTTTTCCCAACTATTCCCTGGAAATTAGAGGGAGGTAAACCTTTTCCTACAGCCTGCATTTCAATTTGGATAATTTTCCCAAAACAGAAAATAAAAGAGCTAAAAGTGTTTAAATATGCAAATGTATGTATAATTATACAAAATTTCCAAAATATGCATTTTTTAAATTTTGTAGATGAATTTTAGCACATCATTGCATCATGTTCCTGATTGGGAACATAGGGTTTGTGAGACAAATTCCAAGCCTGCTATAAAGTCTACCATGTTACATATTTTAGTGTAAGGAATCCAAGCAGCCAGCTTTTTTCAACCAAATCACACCAATTTCTGGTTTCAAAGCATAAATGGACAGTATATGCATCTCTCAAATGACAGGTCCCAAAAACCATTATCAACACATAAGTGAGGGGGTGGATTTTAAGCTTAAGAGTGTCAGGATTTGTATCACCCACCTGTTTAACATTTTTACATTATGGCTGAATTTAATTTTAAATATAATGGGTGAAGACTCACTTTGGCAAATAGGGAATGTAATATATACTACTAGGGTCAGTCAAATGAAAATGAGAAAATCGCGATGTAAAATAATTCCCTATTGATGGACATCCAATACTTTCAGTGTATCTTCACTGAGATTGCGTGAATATCTGTCATAGCTGGTAACACCATGCAATCAGAAAGAATGGCGCTCACAGTCCTCATGCGTCCAAGGAATCCCGGTGTGCTGTAATTCAATTTCCAACTGCTAAAGATGTGTCACCTATCAAAATCCATTCTCAAATGAGTGCTATTGACACCAACAGCTTTTTACAACAGCGGAGTGTGTACAAGTGGTGCAAACGTTTCCAAAGTGAGCGTGAGAGTTTGAAGGATGACTCACTTCCAGGCTGGGTTGACGATATAGACACAGAAATGATCACAAAGGTGGACGAACTCATACAAGGGCAACAGAAACGTTTCATTGGATGAATTGACTGCAGATTTGGGAATCCGTCACAGCTCAATTCATTCCATAATCTGTGTCCACCATAGCATAATGTCTACGCACAGATGATGAAGTGTAGGAGGTATTCACATGTCAGTTCAAACAGTAACCATGTAAATTGTATGAGGCTGATATAAACAATATTGTGAAGTGTTGGAATTGCCTCAACAATGGTGAGGAAATTTTTTGGAAATAATGCACTCACTGCAAGAAAAGTAATAATTCTCGTTTTCATTTGACTGACCCATGTATATTACCAAAAGTGTTGGGACAAGCTTCCCTCTGCCGATAACAGATTGTCCCAGAGGTCATGTGTATTATGGTAATGTTAAGGTATATATAGGCAATCTGCAATCTGTTATTCAGTGTTTGCTTGCATGACTCATGGATAGAAGTATAAGGTCATACCATAGGTACATGGTACCTGCAATATGACAAATGACAACAAACTATCATTTCATGTTCAAACTCCATCAGCTTCAACCATGCTTCAATCCATCATCCATAACCTTATAAATTTTTGTTCAAGGAAAGTAATTCTTGCACTTGTGCCTTTGAAAAGCCCACTATAATGGAAAAATTTCAAGGGGACATTTTGTGAGGAAATGGAGAATCTCCACTTGGTTAGTGTTGGTTACATTAGGCTGGCAATGACTGAATCTGAAATCTTTTGAAGTCTGAAAATCATTACCATTCGATCTTTGCTAGGAAGTTGATTGAATTTGATTGCTGGTTTTGGTATAGTACAGACCTGCTCTTATCAAACTTCATACCATTTTCACAGGTATGAACATTCAGTAAAAGAAATGCTTATCACCTGAAATAGAAAGGCTTAACTTGCTTTGCAGGTGTTAATAAGGTGTTCGAAATAGCAATATTTTTTTGTTTCTTTGATGAACAAGACATTTGTTGTTGGGGTCTCAGAACATATTGGTTGTGTCTTTTTTGCTAGCAGCTCAGCTAGCTCTGCTGAGGCCCCCAACATCCAATGACAACATTTTAAGGCTTAGCTACTTAGTGTTCTCATAGTTTGCTATGTTCCACTTGCAGCTGCTTGCCCAATAGTGACATCATTCAATGACATGGTCATGCCTAGCCAACATGTCTTTTTTGCCAGCAGCTGCTAGTGGCTGGAGCAAAAGACCCACCCATTGAGCAGCTCTTGTACAATAATATAGGAAGTGACATTCTTGTGTTATGGACAAGTTCAGTTCCTTCACTTTCACATTTGGATTATGATTCACCTCTTTCAGTATATCTAGTCTTGTTGCAATATGGATTGGGTGAGAAGTCTTTCATTAATGTTACATAATGGTGAATTCAGTTTTGATGTGTCTTGATCATTACCATCCTTACATAATGGATTCATCAGTTTGTGTCAAGAATGCTCATAACTCAAGTCAAGATTGTGTGAATCCACTGTCTCCTATTCCTCAACCTCATGCTCTTCACATGAAGTGCATGTATATTTTCCAACCTTTTTTTTACATTTCCAACCACCATTGCAGGGTTTCTGCTTAAAGTTTATTAACCTTTAGAACCTGTGTGATACATGTGTTTAATAGTTTTTTTTTCTTTAAACAGGTTGAGCGATGGTTTTTACATTTCAACTTTTCACTTTTGCTATATCTGGTTTGTTTTTGCAGAGATGAAAAGGCCTGGACCATTATATTAAATCATAATTTTTGAAGTAAGAGCATGCATAGCACAAATGATGATTGTCTGGAAAGAGTTAGTCCATACAGGAGGCTGGAAGTTTAAAAAGCCACTCATCCTTATCCTCCGAGATAATGTTGATGTTCATGGGCAATGTTCCCTATAGCATTGCTTGGTCAGCTGCATGTTGAAATCCCATTTTTATTGTTAGTATGGCCTTGACAGAATGTAGGCTTGTAATGCCTCATCTACCTTCTACAAGTGTTGCATATGAGCTGCAGTGCAATGTGAATAATAGAACACTCTAAAATGAATGGTGGTTGTATTGATGATGCAAAATATGAATGCACATCAAGGCATTTGAATATGTGGAAGGATGAGCAACTTGGCAAGGAAACTCATCCTCTCTGCCGCCCTAAAGGGTATGCCAGAAACAAAACAGTAATCTAGTTCATCATGAGACCCCAAACTCAACAGGCATTTTCTCTTCACGTTTTCCTCCTTTTTCCTTCCGAATTAACCATTCCCTTTCTATGTCTATCCCAATCCTTCTTCTATTGTACTCTCCATTTTCCAGGATGTTTTAATGCTCTTTGGGGTCTCATAACAGGTTTCTTATTTCACTTCTCCAGGAAGCACATCCAATGCACAGGGCAATAGGTTGTCACTTCAAAAAACCCAAAACTACATTTTTGCATATTCCCAAAAACAATCTTCTTGTAATTTTGAAGCCCTCTGCAGAATGAATTAAGGATTTTGATGTTGGGATTGCAATTTCTGAACTAGCTCCTTATATTGATGTATATTTACTAACAGAAAAACCTATTGTTGTAAAAAAAAAAGTCATGTTTGTTGCCAAATTTTTCCCCCCATGAAACTGTAATTAATATGTTCATCTTTAGGTATGTATCAACTGAGAACATTAGATATGTCTCACCAGTAAGGTCTCTTCCTTGTCAAATAGATATTGAGTTCAGATACAGACTTCGTTTTGGATTTGATGCAATTGCTCTACTTTGCACAATGTCTAACTTTGTGGCCTTATTGGTGTGCACTGTAAGTTACAGTATCTTCCAGAATAATTTGAGTCATTTACTTTTTAACTGGTGAAATTGACATTTCACACTTCCATTGAAATTTAAAATATCTTTACGGGTGAAAATTCAAATTTTTTTATTACTGATATTTTCTCCCAGATCATATTGGTATTTGTAACATCTAGATACTTAATACCATGAGAACTGGCAATCTGAAGCACTGGTGATTGACATACTGTATGGCTAGCTTCATCTCTTCAAAAAAATACCTGTCTTAAAAGTCACATTGGTGAATAGCAGGGTAGGATAATATGTACTGTCAAATTAAGTTTTTTTTTTCTGTCATATTCCCTCACCTCACCATTTTATCCTCTACGTAACATTGATACGGTCTATATGCTGTGCAAAATAAGCAGTGATAAGATCAAAGGAATCCATTCCACTTAGTGAGAATGTGAAATTACCTTTATTAATATTTGCTAAGTGTTGATATGGGAAAAGTTGTAATAGTTTGAGTGATAAAGTTGTGAATTGTACAAAATATCTGATTGTGCATGGGCTGCATTAATTTGCAGCTTCAACAGTAGAAACTGTTGATAATTGCATATCCTGGAATGGTTGTTAAACAAAATTTTCCCCATGTGTTCTTTGAGAAATTTTGTTTTTGAAGTGGATCTTTTGGTTTTCCTTATTTAGGAATTGTCAGCCATATTGCATTTCATGCACAAGTAATAGAGGCAAGGGAGTGAAACATGTCTTCATGCACATCATTAAGGTCATTGGTATAGCAGGGTTGGAGCTTCTCTCTTGTTCCACACTTGTCAGTGTGACAAGATGAGGTACAGAATCTTATATGGACCCCTGAAAAGTAAGCCCCCTTTACCTTTTTATTATTCATACTCTCCTCATTGAATTCATTTGTCATGACTATTGAGTTCAGAAGTCTTGTTGACTTCTGAGGGAAATTATACAGACTGCCAATTTCACAGCAGTAATTTATAATTGCAAATAGGGTACTCCCCTTTTTCGTGCATTATTAAGCAAAGTAAACCAAGAAGAGATCTTCCAGTGATTTTCATGCTGATTTTAAACCAGGGGTAAAGACGTCATTGAGAAGACCCACCAATGGTGAGACTACTTCTGCCATCACTGAGCATATTGATGGAAAAGGAGAGCAACAAGTTGTTAGTTGCAAAGCAACCAAAGGTGAAAATTCCATCTGGAAGGTCACTGATGCTTCTCACATTCAAGTAAGGGACTGTGACTCAAAGGAAGAACAGAAATCTCAAAATGAGCAGTCATGTCACCAGAAATGCAACCATATTCCACCTTACTCAAGCCTGATTGATGCCCTTGGATTGGTGAGCAGCAAAAGCAGCCTGTTGAGCCATTTTTTGGATCCAAGAAACTCCATTGCTCATTGAAGCTATTTTACTTTCTTGTAGGGAGGTCTTCTAGCATTTGCATGGCATGTGAGCAGGAAATTTTACCTCTCACATAATCATGAAGAAAGGGAAGTGAAAGGACCAACTCGCCCAGGAACGTGGGATTTCTTGAATAGACATCCACTGAGCCTTATTCTTTCAGCTGTTGCTTGGGCACAGCCACCAACATATGCTGTGACAAGCATCTTACCAAAGCCAATTGATATAAATGAGTCAAGTTCAAATGAAGAGAGAAATCAGGAAGCTGAGGAGAGTAGAAAAGCATTGGTCTTTGATTCCAGTTTGGTCTCTTCTGCAAGGGAGGAGCTGGATCAAATTAAGAGCGATCCTTCCACTTGCCAGGTAAGTGCAGATTCTAGACATAGGAGTCCCCTCTTTTCTCTTATTTAGTCTTTTTTGAAATTGTGGGCCCAGAAACATTCAATTTATCTTCCAAGAAATGGGATGCTGCTCTGGATGAGTTGATTACAGCAAAGGATGCTTTCATGTCACACTTGGAAGACAGAAGGATGACAAAAAAGTTCACAAATGCTTTGAGGAGTAAGCAGCAAACTTTGCCCCAAATAGGGATCACCTCAAATATGAAAATCGCCACATCTCATGGTTTGTCCTTACTTGGTTAGTTTGCTTTTCTTCATGACATGTGAAGTTGTAATATGCTCTTGTCTGTTGGAATCATTATTTTTGTTTAATTTCATCTCTGCATTTTTAGAGAAGAAAAGAATTCATGATTTACTGGAGACCCTTGACTCAGATGAGTCTGTACAAGAGGCACTCACTCAACTAGAATTTGCAGCAAGTGCCTTTGCCATGTCATTTAAAGGTGAGTTTCATGTTCTGAGTTGTCTTGATTGGCTGGAAATTGTTTAAAGATCCTTTCTTCCCACCAGACACCCAAGTATGCATTTTGGAAATGATTTTTACACAGATAATCATGACAAGACTGAGGAAGAAATAAGCAGCTGCTCCAAGGAAGATGTATTTGCAAAGATTCTGTCCAACAAGGGATCCTCAGAAGGTTATTCAAGCCTTCAAGGCGAATTGGCACCTGGATGAATGGCAATAATATTGCCTCTGTAATTGTCATATGCTTGTAAAGTTTTCCTAGAGTTATTCTGAATGGCTTTCTGTTGATGTGTTCATGCTTTTTATTGTGTTCAAACCATTTTGTCTGTTTCAAACTAGTCAATAGACCTAGTTGCTCAATCAATGGTCCTACCTGAGCCTGCTCAGAGATCACATCAACTTCCCCTTTCTTTAGTTATTCCCAGAAACAGTGCAATATTATGTGCTAAATGCCTTTAAGATATGGGGACCTCCCTGTGTCATTCCTTATATCATTTCTGCTTCCAGAGTATTTGCAGTATTTGCTGGTTTCCCACCTTTTCTGAACAAGTTAGAGAAAAGGAAATCTCTTCAGAGGAATTTGTAACGTTTGTGACCTCAGTACCCTCTCTCTTGGCATTTCTTGATGGCAAATCAAGTCAACATCCCTCTTGTTTGGTATTAAAGAAGAACTTGTTTTACTTACCTCTTATTAGTTTTTCAATCATTTATACCAATACAGTCTCACAGAGCTTTATTGCATGCCTTGGGACAGTCCAAAGATTCATTTAGAGAGGCTGAGAATGAACTTGCAGTTGACTGGATTTGGAAGCTGTTTTCCAAGTCTTGGCTCTGCCAGCTGTAAGCCTTACTGCAGTGTTCCAAGTCTTGTCCTGAACACAGATTATTGCTTTTTGGCATGTTTCTCATAACAATGGAAACATAATAGTAAGGCTAACGAAGGGATGATGAGAAGCATAATATTGCATCAAGTTTTCCTAGTTGCTTGCAAATTATTAGGATGGTAATTTATTGTTTGGTATGGTCAGACAATATGAGAAGATGGTTGTAGTTGAGGAACAGCTGGAATTATCTCTGCATTCCATCTTGACATTTTCATGCAGCCATAAGATATGGTTGATTGAAGAGAGCAATACAGTCAACTCGTGTTATACCGCCACTCAATATAGCACCACCCTCACTTATTGCCAACATCTTCTACTTGACAAATCTCTCCATTGGCCTATATAATACAGGATATAGTTAATTCGATATAGCGCCAAAATCAGCGATAAGAGGTGCTATATCTGAGTTATACAAATGAGTTATCACTGAAATTTTAATAGTTCCTTTACATATGGATTAGAGATATAAGAAGACAGCTTGGCAAACATGGGACTCTTCAATTCTACTACTATAGGCTTGTTATAAGAGCATTGAGAGAATTTTCCTTCTTTCTTTAGCAACAGTCTTGTGAAGAAAGCACAAATGGATGGGAATGTACTGAGGCCTGAGGGACAGGAGTCTGTTGGAGAAAAATTACAAGTTTCCCTCCTTACATATGCAGGGTTGGTGTTTTTACTTCAAGTCAAAGAGACTAAAGTGAGACATGGGACTAGTTTTTGAGACCCATATCCATCCTGTTCCAATTAGGTAGACCCTGACCCCACACACTTTCTGCACTGATTTTTTCCTTTTCATCTTGTTCCCATCTGAAGCTCACTGCACCTGTCCCTAATTCCACCCAATTCTCAAATTAAGGAATAATAGTCAATATATAGGGTTTATTGCAGCAATTGACTACAGATTGCAAACTTGTATAGACTGCTAGAGAGGCACAATCTGACAATGTTCAAAGCTGTAGTTGTGGGTCCCCATTCAATGTGGTGACATTAGGCAGTTGGTTGTGTGCATTGATTCAATCTAAAACTGACTCAGAAGGGTGTTGGTCAATTTGGTGTTGTAATGGCTGTAATTAACCCTTCCCAGAATTGTTCTACAAGGGACATTAACACGTTGGCGACAATGCGTCCTGATGCCAGGATGCAGATTTTTTTTCAATGAATACCATCTGGAACTGTCGAGAACGTTCCAGAAGATTATGATTTCATAATTACTGATAAAAATTCCAAAAAATTC